GATAAAAGGGGGTGGTTTGAAAGGGAGGAGAAATTAAAGATTACTTGACACACATTTAATTCAAAGAGGTTTTTTTTGAAGTGTACACTGTACGTCATACATATAGGATCAGCAATATTACCCCTGACAAGTTCCGTTGCTCCCCCCCCCCTTCTTTGCACCTATCTCACACTTTCCTCCATTAGTCATGAAATCCGCCAAGTTTTCAGCTTTTTTGCAACATTCTCCAACTTTTAGACTCTTCTCTGCATAGACTGCGCAGAAATAGCACTGTGCAGAGCGCATATTTTATGCTCAGACCATGAAACGTGCAGCTAAGGATTTGGGAAAACGACAATCATACGTGAGCTTATCTTATTTTATATTGGGATTAAACCTATAGATATTCATATTGTAACTTAATAAAGACTAAAAAATTTTGTTTTATTTTATATCATACTTTGATTTCTTAGCAATTTTATACGGAATGTAGAGCAAAAACGGTTTAAAGATGTGTAAAATCAGCAATCTTTTGGAAATCTTCAATTCTGGGAATGTTTAAAAAGTTATCCCCCCGATTTCTGCATAGGTTATAAAGTATACACTATACACCCCTCTGGATAGACAGATAGAAATCTTGATCAAGAAGTTTGATGTTGTGGAAAGAATGGTTGCCAAAATCATTTGGTCAAGGTTATATTTGCCATATCTTTGTATGAGCATAGAGTGAATACAATTTTCAAACTTTATTTATCTTATCTTCTAAAAAAAAAGCTCTTTGCTCGTATATATTTGTTTGTGAATATGTTAGCTAAAGCTGGCCAAACGGCTGGACCGAATGGGCTAAAATTTGTTGAGGGAACCCAAGGGTGCACGGGGAGTAACATAGGCTAAAAAATCGACATGTTTTTCTTCAAAAATAGATTTTTTAATCCATTTTTTTAAATTAAAAAAACCACGGGCAACGCCGGGCACTTCAGCTAGTACAATTATATATCTATATATGTTAGCTATAGCTAGCGAAACGGCTGGACCAAAAAATTTGGTTTTTGGACGGCTGGGTAACAAAGCATATGTGATATATCCCTCTGAATAATTATTTTGATTTGTGACGTCATAATTTCTACCGACGAGTGTTTGACGATTTTTTTAATTCCCGCAATGCCGAAACAAAACAACATACTATATACTGTGGACAATTGTACAATAAACAACCTTAATAATTAAAGCCTGAACTAAGATTAAACGATCTAATGAATCGGAATTTAAAAAAAGAATAAATAAAAAAAGTATTCCGGAATTCATGAAATATTCCAAAGGGCTGCAGGAAAATCCAAAAGAAACCTTAATTTTTTAAATGTTAAACAAAACAACGAAATTATTTATGAAAAGTTTTAACAAGGTCATAAAATTGATATTTTTAAGTAATACCCTCTTATCACATACTATTAGAAATGTTTTATTTTTAACCGCCATATTGGATGCATATTTTTAACCGCCATATTGGATGCATATTTTTAACCGCCATATTGGATGCATATTTTTAACCGCCATATTGGATACATATTTTTAACCGCCATATTGGATGCATATTTTTAACCGCCATATTGGATACATATTTTTAACCGCCATATTGGATACATATTCATCTATATTCTAAAAATATTGAGACCAAAACTTTACACTCAAAACGTGAGAAGTGTATATTCACTGAATTTACAAAGTAAAAATTTTAGAACCCTAAGTGGGAATTTAAAACAAATTGAAAACGTGTATTTCTTAAAGCTAAAAATTTTGATCTAAAAAATCGTGACGAAGACAATAATCTATTATAGAAAAATCTTGAGGCGTACTATCTTGTTTTTAATAATATCAAACTATTCATCACATAATATATTTCTAGAGTTGGGCATCGTTTGTTTTCTTCATTTATTTTAGAAATTCTAGAATTATTGGCTTCAGGGAAGGCTCAAAAAATATGTGAAGTCTTGCGTTATTCGAAATTTTATTTTCTCTCAGTTTTCTAAAATAAACTCTGACAAAAGATATAAGCCTGAACGAATCAAAATATATTAAATTTAAAAAAATCGTCCTGTCCTGTATCTTCTGCCAGATTAAAGATTTTGCTAAATGTACAAAAACCAATTTTCTAGAGAATACAATCTTGAAATATGATAAACTTATTAGATTTTTGTAGAGTTTGCTAAAAGCCTAAAAAACATGAATGTTTTAAAATAAAACTATGACCAACTTTACTATCAACACACTTTGATCAACTATAAGACCTGACTTCATTCTTGAACTAGTAAATTCATTTCGAATTTGGGAGGGGGGGATATGTGTGTTGTACTGTACATGTCATGCAATATACGCTAGCATTCAGGTGTGTTGTACTGTACATGTCATGCAATATACGCTAGCATTCAGGTTTGCTGTACTGTACATGTCATGCAATATAAGTCAGCATTCAGGTGTGTTGTACTGTACATGTGATTCAATATACGCTAGTATTCAGGTGTGTTGTACTGTACATGGGATGAAATACGGGCTAGCATTCAGGTGTGTTATACTGTACATGTGGTGCAATATATGCTAGCATTCAGGTGTGTTGTACTGTACACGTTATTCAATACACGCTAGCATTCAGGTTTGTTGTACTGTACATGTAATGCAATATACGCTAGCATTCAGGTGTGCTGTACTGTACATGTAATGCAATATACGCTAGCATTCAGAGCCCAAAACTTAAGACAGGGTATCGTTCTGAAAACTAGTTCTAAAACCCGGTTTCACGAATGGGGTTAGGCAGTTTTAAGAATATTAATATTTTTGTTATGAAATATTATATTATTCAGTTTATTTATATTCTCAATTTTTTTGATTCTCTTAAATCAAAATCTACACAAATGTTAAGACCCCAAGAAGGAAACTCGAGAGTTTTGTTCAACGATACTCTTTTAAATTTCGGGCTCTGGTGTGTTGTACTGTACATGTAATGCAATATACGTTAGCATTCAAGTGTGTTGCACTGTACAGTGTACTTGTGATATAATATACGCTAGTATTTTGGTGTGTTCTACTGTACATGTTATGCAATATACGCTAGCATTCAGATGTATTGGACTGTACATGTGATGCAGTATACTGACTACGCGTCCTTGTTTATCCTAATCTGAAGATTTTATCTTTAATGTATCTTCAACCAATATTCAACTATTCACGCAAACTTCAATATTTATACATCACCCCGGCCCTTTATACACGGGTAATACAAGGGGGAGGGAGAGGGTGGGTTATGGAGAAATTGAGCAAAAATCGGAAATTTAGAAAAGTCAAGAGAGGGGGAAGAAAAAAAGAAATTTTAGGAAGACAAGGCTTGAATTGAAGGAAAGGCTAGGTTTGTTGGGAGATAGATACATTGGATCAAGGGAGATACACCGAGAACCTTCATATCTAGCAAAGATATGGGGATATCTATATGTTTCTTCCTCGAATTTGGATTGAAAAGGCTTAGTTCGAAGGGTAGGGCTACTAGGTGAAGAGGGGGTGGACTTTATGGGAGAGGTGTAGATCTTAGGTGGGAAAAGTAAAAACCTTAGGGGGGAGAAGTATATACCTTAGGTGGGAGAAGTATAGACCTTAAGTGGAAAAGGTGTAGACCTTAGGTGGGAAAAGTGTAGACCTAAGTTGGGAGAAGTGTAGTCCTTAGGTGGGAGAGGTGTAGACCAAAGGTGGGAGAAGTGTAGTCCTTAATTGGGAGAGGTGTAGACCTTAAGTCAGAGGAACGAAGGAAGGCCAACCACAACAATTCCTAGTCCGAACCATGTTCTCCTCATTTTCTCGTCCAACCCACCTCGAAATCCTCGTCCATTTAAAAATATTTTTTTGTGTCCAATCCTTAAAGATAAGAATATTTTTTTAAAATCTGTCCACGTTAGGGAATACAACATGGTTAGAATAAAGTTTTGCAATGATTTTAAAATGTTGGAATCTTCAAATCCATGAAAATGATGTCAAACTTTTTTTAGGTAAAACATATGAACTCTTCTGCCCCCAAAATGTCAAACTTTCATAATTTAAAAGTTATGTCGAAGTTTTAACTTGAACATGGTCTATAATCTTTCCGTTTCAACCCATACAAAAAAATCATTGATTTTTACATAATTACAAAAAAGGCAAATTTTTGTTCTCGCACCAATTTATCCGTCACAACCCTAGGAATTTAAACAGTATTTAAATCATTAAGGAAATGAGGGTGAAAATAAAGTGTAGGAATAGAAACCATTGTATTGATTAAACTTCATAATAATTTGCGGCATTCTACGCGAAAAGAGCTACTGCAGCCTGACAGATGCTTATTTGTAGAACATCGTTTTGGGGGCATACACATTTTTCACAAATTTAAAATTTGTAAGAGAAGGTTCAATAATTCAATTATTCCCTAACGTGGACAGATTTTTTAAATATATTCTTATCCTCAAGGATTGGACACTTTTTTGAAATGACAAGGATTTCGAGGTGGCTTAGATGAGAAAATGAGGAGAATGTGGCTCGGACTAGGAATTGTTGTGGTTGGCCTTCCTCCCCTCGTCAGAGAGAGGAAGCGTAAGCGTAATTGGTCAGAAATTATTCATGACTCTAATCCTGGGGATCTACTATCTATAAATGGATTTACAAATTTATCATAAAAATTTATTGATAAGCTTTGGATTCTAAAGATTAATTACAGTGGCAGGGGAACCGATATCAATCATCGAACTAATAATTCCAGTTATTTTAACAAATTCAACATCTTAGAATTAGCTTCAACTTGTTATTCTTTGTTCTCGCAAAAAAACAAGTTATTAAATATCCAGTTTTACATTATTGTGAAATAATACAGTAGACGACTTTTTTATTTAAGTTAACCAAATTAACAATTATACATCATATCATTAAGATCATGCTACACAACTATCCATTAAATTGTTTTTTTTTTATACTTTTTATAAACAATATTTCTAATAATCGATATAATTTAGAATATAGTGGAGGAGGTATGAGAAACTGGTTGTCAGGATGGGGCTCCGGGCATCCGAAAGGTAGTTTTTTTTTCTAAAGATCTTGTTTATCGGTCATGCTCAGTTTCATTGTGATGGTCCGAGTCTAAAGAAGAGTCAGAGTCATGCGGTGGTGATGGTGTCAGTGATTGTAATGGTGACAGAGATATAGTGTTGGTGTTTGTTGTTGATGATGTTAATTATGGCTGAGGATATTTGTTGATGGTGGTGACGGTGATTGTGATGCTGATGCTGATGCTGATGATGATGCTGATGATGATGCGGATGCTAATACTGATGCTGATGTTATAGTTTTACTTGTAAAAGTAGAGTTATTTCTGAACAGACGACTGAAAGGTGTCAAATATTGAATAACATCTGAGGTTGAGATAATGAATGATTTCTAAGAATCCGTAAATATTGAGTTTAGGTCTTCGAACAACCCAGCCACAAGTTAAGGAGTTGAAGCTCTTTAGATTTCGTGTTGTGAGGTCTCTTCTCTTTTATCCTGTATTCCTCAGAACTCGTTAATGATGGGGGAGTGTGTTACGGGGAATGGAAGGGGAGGGAGAAGGAATAAAAAACGTACAATTACAGATGGGGGGGGGGGGGGGGTTAATCTACTTTAATTTTGACTTCTGAATTTCATATTCTGATAAAAATGTATATTTTGAAGTTTTGTGTTATGGGCCAATAAGAAAACACTGAAACGTTCTTCTATCAAGTTTGGTTTTTCATATGTTGTATTTTTTTAGGAACTGTCCCTGGGTCCCTGGGGCCTGTGGGTCCAGGTTTGGGACCGGGAGGGGGTCTCCTGGACCCTAGAATAGATGATAAACAGTCAACACTCTCTAGATACTGGACAATGGACAGGTGCAACTAATACATCCTGAGCTGGGAATTCTTGTATTGTGGATATCGAGATCAATGCTTGATCTCTTTTTTTTTGTTAATCTGCAGATTAATTTAATCTTTATTCGATATTCCTGATGGTAATCCTACTGGATAACTGAGATGAAGAGATTAAGCATTGATCCTCAAACTAAGTCCCCACAGTGGATATCGAGATTAAGCGATCGGGATTATACAACACAAAAGGTTCCAGCTCTTCTGAGTATTTTGTATAATGATAAAGAATTGTGTAAATCTTATTTTTGAAAGAAAACAAGGGCGGACTTTTCTAGTTTTCAACATTCTGATTGGATCTGCACGTACTCTATTCTTTTCTTTTTAATTTTTAGAGCAATCTTATTCTTTACCTTTCTTTCCTCTCCGGTTAATTGTATTAACCCGGGTTCACGTTTAGATCTTTGCAGCGAAAACTAGGAAAGACAAATTTTCAGCACATCAAACGTTTATGTAGAGATAGAGGACAACTTTTTGAAGATCAGGTAAAAAACATAATCTTTTTTTTTTATTGAAGAAATCATTTTTTTATTTATTTTTTTCTAAACCCAACATCCGTTGCAAAACCAATGTTGTAGACCTTTCTAGATATTTCAAACTATGAATTCTGTAAGATTAAATAATCTAAGTTTGAAAGGTTTATACCATCAGGTTGGAAAGATATTGGGGAAAAAAAGTCTCAATTTCTTTGTATTTTAAATTTTTTATTTAATCAATTGAATTAATAGTTTATTTGACCTTTTTCTTCAGGATTTCCCTCCGACAAACAAAGCTATTTATAGTCACAAGAAACCTCATCTTCATCCAATAGTCTGGATGAGACCACATGTAAGTTTTATTTAGATTTTTATTTTTTCAACTTTTATACACAGAGATCTTGGCCGCTTTCGCCTTAGTTACTCCTTCACAATACATTTTTCTAGCCATAGATATGTACAATTTAAAACTACAATGAGCTGATAGATTTTTCGTGTTAGTGGGCACATTTTTACCGTTAATCTACAAAGTGTGCCATCAACCATTCCCAAGAGATAAAAAAGTTGGGAGTTGAGTTAGATTACAGTTTACTGTGGTTTTATCTAAGAATACTCCTAGATAACCTGTCGGCTGCGTAAATATAAGTCTGTGCATGGCCCTGAGCAGGGACAATCAAACCTTTATATTCATATCTTCTCTCTCTTCTCATATCTTCTCTTCTCATATTTTATCTTCTCATATCTTCTCTTCTCATATCTTCTCTTCTCATATCTTCTCTTCTCATATCTTCTCTTCTCATATCTTCTCTTCTCATATCTTCTCTTCTTATATCTTCTCTTCTCATATCTTCTCTTCTCATATCTTCTCTTCTCAAGCTGTTGATACCCCTTTTTGACTTGACCTTTTACCCCCTTTCATACCAAATCCCAGACTGCAGATATGAGACCAGACCACACAAAATGGTTGCGTTCCTGGAAATATATTAATTATACGATTTAGATTGGATTTAAATGTAAAAAATGTGTTATTTTATTGAGAAAAAAAGTCACCGTCAATTATAAGTATACACAAAATTTCAAGAAATATTTCCAACCAAAATTCAAAGCTTTTCGGTAAATATACTCTTAATTGTATTTATGTTAAAAACCTTTTTTTTAAACAACATATTCGGTCATTTTTCATGCTTATACTTTGTGAAGGCTATTTTCTCACACTAGTGCCAAGTGTATGTGAGTGATATACATCCATGAGTTTATGTTGGTTAGTATGCAGGCATATGGTTCATTACACCGTTCCTTCAGTCTTTCAACTCTTAATTAATGTTTTTTATGATGGATGGAGGAGACTGAAAACTAGCTCCGGGCTAGATTATGTACGGAAAGGGTAGATAAAAGAGAAGGAAAACTAGCTCCGGGCTAGGTTATGTAGGGATAGGGTAGATAAAATAGAAGGAAAACTAGCTCCGGGCTAGCTTATGTACGGAAAGGGTAGAAAAAAGAGAAGGAAAACTAGCTCCGGGCTAAGTTATGTACGGAAAGGGTAGAAAAAAGAGAAGGAAAACTAGCTCCGGGCTAGGTTATGTACGGAAAGGGTAGAAAAAAGAGAAGGAAAACTAGCTCTGGGCTAGCTTATGTACGGAAAGGGTAGAAAAAGAGAAGGAAAACTAGCTCCGGGCTAGGTTATGTACGGAAAGGGTAGATAAAAGAGAAGGAAAACTAGCTCTGGGCTAGATTATGTGCGGAAAGGGTAGATAAAAGAGAAGGAAAACTAGCTCCGGGTTAGATTATGTGCGGAAAGGGTAGATAAAAGAGAAGGAAAACTAGCTCCGGGCTAGGTTATGTGCGGAAAGGGTAGATAAAACAGAAGGAAAACTAGCTCCGGGCTAGATTATGTACGGAAAGGGTAGCTAAAAGAGAAGGAAAACTAGCTACGGGCTAGGTTATATACGGAAAGGGTAGATAAAAGAGAAGGAAAACTAGCTCCGGGCTAGATTATAAACGGAAAGGGCAGATAAAAGAGAAGGAAAACTAGCTCCGGGCTAGATTATATGCGGAAAGGGCAGATAAAAGAGAAGGAAAACTAGCTCCGGGCTAGGTTATGTACGGAAAGGGTAGATAAAAGAGAAGGAAAACTAACTGCGGGCTAGGTTATATGCGGAAAGGGTAGATAAAAGAGAAGGAAAACTAGCTCCGGGTTAGATTATATATGGAAAGGGTAGATAAAAGAGAAGGAAAACTAGCTCCGGGCTAGGTTATGTGCGGAAAGGGTAGATAAAAGAGAAGGAAAACTAGCTCCGGGCTAGGTTATGTACGGAAAGGGTAGATAAAAGAGAATGAAAACTAGCTCCGGGCTAGGTTATATACGGAATGAGTAGATAAAAGAGAAGGAAAACTAGCTCCGGGCTAGGCTACATACGGAAAGGGTCGATAACAGAGAAGGAAAAGTAATTAAAAAGAGTAAAAGGAAGAGACATAAATAAAGAAAATAATAAATAATTATTTGTTTCTTTTTAATAATTTGTAGTCTGAAAGTCTTAGAAGGGTTCAGTTTAGATGTATCTGTTTATTTATAAATCTTTTTGTGTTTTAAATCCATCATTTACGGTACAAGCTATACGATAGGAGAGATAGAAACACACTTTTATTTGTCTATTTTTTTTCTAAATGACTGTTCTTTGTCATTAATTTTCAGCTGTAATCCAATTAATTATCAAGCATTTACGGTACGCTAAGGACGGACAGATGAGGTGTATCCTTTTTAATAAAACCTTATATATTATGTAATATCTGAAACGTCTAAAATAAACCCTTAAAACTAAACTATATATAATGTATGTATGATAAATATCTTTAGATTATTTCTGCATTTTAAACTGGGAGAAATCTTAATGCAAGTTGCAATTCATTTAATAAACAGAATTCAAACACTGAAATAGGATGATTAAATCTTTTTTGACTTCTATTAATTCATTCGAAGATAATTATTTACATTTTTCTTCATTTTAATACAAGTTTTATACGTTTTCTCTGTACAGTCTTGAGTGTACAGTTAATGTACATATTGCATCCTAATCCCATTGTATTCCAATTACCACCATTACTTGATGTTTTCCACTCATGCTTTTCATCTTTACATACATCCTAGACACAGAGGATTCAGATATATAGAGTTACATCCTACACATAGAGGAATCAAATATATAGAGTTACATCCTACACACAGAGGATTCAGATATATAGGGTTACATTCTAGACACAGAGGATTCAGATATATAGGGGTACATCCTAGACACAGAGGATTCAGATATATAGAAATACATCCTAGACACAGAGGATTCAGATATATAGAGTTAAATCCTGGACACAGAGGATTCAGACAAATATGGTTTCATCCTAAACACAAGGGATTCAGATATATAGAGTTGCATAATAGAGTCAGAGAATTCAGATATATGGAGCTGCATCCTACATATAGAGAATTCAGATATATAGAGTTACATCCCAGGCACAGAGGATTCAGATATGAAGTGTTACATCCTACACATAGAGAATTCAGATATATAGAGTTACATCCTAGGCACAGAGGATTCAGATATATAGAGTTACATGATAGACACAGAGGATGATTCAGATATATAGAGTTACATCTTACACACAGAGGATTCAGATATACAGAGTTACATCTTAAACACAAAGGATTCTGATATATAGGGTTACATCCTAGACACAGGGGATTCAGATATATAGAGTTACATCCTAGACACAGAGGATTCAGATATATAGAGTTACATCCTAGACACAGAGGATTCAGATATATAGAGTTACATCCTAGGCATACATAGAGGAGACTTTTAAAGCTAATCTTAGACATAGATGATTCAGATTGATAAAATTACATTATCGACACTGAGGTTTCAGATAATAAGTTTTCCATTCTAGTATATAAATATTGAGTTTTAGATAGAAACTGAGGTTTCAGACATAGAGTCAGGATTGGGATTTGAAATAGAGGACATTGATTCTGAGATATTATAATAAAGATATAGAGGATTATCTTTAAAACCTCAATGTAAACTAAGGTTTGTACTTATGAAAAATTAAAACTTAAATATTTAGGAGATCTGCCAGAGACCTAAGTTTATAGCTGAGGGAGCAACTAGGTTTGATGTTGAACAAGGAGAACTAGGAGATCCATGGTTACTGGCTGCTGTTAGCTCCCTTACACTTACTCCCAGGTATACTTCTATATCTATCTTCAAACCTTTAGTTTTAGACTCAAATCTTTTGTTCTAGCCAAAAATATTTATTTATATTCGCAGACATTTAATTTCATTATCTAACCTTTAATTCTATACTCCTTCATCATTCATCCTCCAACCTTTACTTTCATCCTCCAACCTTTAGTTTTATCCTCCAACCTTTAGTTTTATTCTCCAACCTTTAGTTTCATCCTCCAACCTTAAGTTTTATCCTCCAACCTTTAGTTTTATTCTTCAACCTTTAGTTTCAATCTACAACCCTTAGTTTCATCCTCCAACCTTTAGTTTCATCCTCCAACCTTTAGTTTCATCCTCAATCATTAAGTATCATCCTCCAACCTTTAGTTTCATCCTCCAACCTTTAGTTTTTTCCTCCAACCTTTAGTTTTATCCTCTAAACTATAGATTCAATCTACAACCTTTAGTTTTATCCTTCAACTTCATTTGTATTGTTCATCCCTCCAGAGTCTAGCTTATCTGTTTATTTTTAAAGGTTTCTGGATAGAGTAGTGCCTCCAGATCAAAACTTTGAACAAGGGTACTGTGGGGTATTTAGGTAAATATTTAAAAAATTCAATTGTTTCAATGAAAATTTTTTGATTTTTTTTGTTGACATTTTGGAGTATTTATATGTATCAACAATGAATAAAAAAAAATCTTAAAATTTGTCTAGCTTTGTAAAATCTAGTTATTATTTTGTAAATTTGCTAATTTTTACAAACAAGCACCATCATTTACCACCCTGGGTAAAGAGTAGGGGGTATAAATATGAAGATGCAAGGATTGAAGGAAGAGTAGGAGGCATATAAATGAAGATGCAAGAATTGAAGAAAGAGTAGGGGGTATATTAAGATGCAAGGATTGAAGGAAGAGTAGGAGGCATATAAATGAAGATGCAAGGATTGAAGGAAAATTAAAGAGAATATAAAGATGCAAGGATTGAAGGAAAATTAGGGAGTATATGGAGATGGAAGGACTTATGAAAGAGTAGGGAGTATATGAAGATACAAGGATTGAAGGAAAAGTAGGGAGTATATAAAGATGCAAGGATTGAAGGAAAATTAGGGAGTATATGGAGATGCAAGGATTGAAGGCAGAGTAGGGAGTATATGAAGATGCAAGGATAAAAGGAAGAGTAGGGAGTATATGAAGATGCAAAGATTGAAGGAAGAGTAGGGAGTATATGAAGATGCAAGGATAAAAGGAAGAGTAGGGAGAGTTTTTAAACTTTCGTCCAAGCGTATCCTGATGTTTATGCATCTGAGTATTTCAATACATTAAAAACCTTTTAAAGATTCTTCAAAACGTAGACGTGGTTCAATCACATCTTTTCAGTTTGAACCGGCGCACATTAGAAGTGATTGAACTAAATCTGCACGGATCAGCTATCTTCTCACTTTTCTTTAACTTCTATATTAACTCCATAGAACCTTTATAAACTTCATACAACTTAAAATAAACTCCATAGAACCTTTATAAACTTCATACAACTTAAATAAACTCCATGAAACCTTTATAAACTTCATACAATTTAAATAAACTCCATAGAATCTTTATAAACTCCATACAACTTTATAATCCATAGAACCTGTATTAACTCCATTCAACTTTATAATCCATAGAACCTGTATTAACTCCATAGAATGTTTATAAAATCCATAAGAACCTATATATAAACTCCATAGAACGTAAATAGACTCCATAGAACCTATGTATAAACTCCATAGAAAATAAAGAAACTCCATAGCACGTATTTAAACTCCATAGAACCTATATAAACTCCATATAACCTAAATAAACTCCATAGAATCTAAACAAATTCCTTAGAACCTAGGTATAGATTCCATAGAACGTATATAAACTCCATAGAACCAATATAAACTCCATATTACCGATATAAACTCCATAGAATCTATATAATTTCCATAGAACCTAGCTATAAATTCCATAGAACCTATATAAATTCCATAGAACGTAATAAACTCCATAGAACCTAGCTATAAATTCCATAGAACCTATATAAACTCCATAGAACGTAATAAACTCCATAGAACCTATATAAACTACATAGAACCTATATAAATTCCTTAGAACATATATAATTAACCTTAATTTCAGATTTAGATTTTGGCACTTTGGAGACTGGGTAGAAGTTCTAGTAGATGATAGATTGCCAACGCATAAGGTAATCTTTATATATAAAGTTGTAATCTTGTGAGGGTGTCTGTTTGTTTGTAATTGTTTGTCCGATCATAAATCAAAACCCTCTGGACCAAATGGCCTCAAATTTTGATTGAGGAACTCGGGAGAGCCACGGGAATGTTCTTGCTTGGTTTTTAGATTCTAATTTGAGTAGGCCGACTTTTATCGGGAAAAAAAGCTAAAATCGTTATTTACGACCAAGTGCGGGTAAACGGCGAGAGTAACTATGAGCAACCTGGGTAATGCAGACAACGCTGGGTTCGCAAGCTAGTCTTCTATAAAGTTACTCTTAAAGTCAAAGTCAAAGTAATGCCTTGTGACCCTTCCATTGAAGAAGTGACATGAACTACATTAACCTTGGAATATCTTGTCCTGTAGAGAATGCGTTCTTATATAAAAATGAATCACATATTATTTGTGAGGCAGCGTTACAGCTAAGGAATTATTTCTTTAACTTCACTTTAAAAATTACTTTTGAGAAAGAAAGATTTTAAATAAAAAGAAATAGATATTTACAATTTGCTTAAGCTGATGCGATTTGGGCCTTGCCATCTTTGCATGGAGTGTCATTTGAAGTTTGGCTTACAGTCCCTTTAATGTTAACAGTATTTAGAACCATCGTCATTTTTTAAATATCTTTGAGTAGTGAGTATATATACAGTGCACGATGCACGTGCGCTCAGTTTATTGTGAAGATGCTGGATGTCCCAAAACATGCGAATCCAAGCTTATCATGTCTTAGATAGTTCAACAATAGTTTAGAACAAAAATCTTACATTTAAAACAAAAATCGACTTTCAATAAGTGAAAAAGGTCATGATGCAAAATGAATCATTCTGCTACACCCTGTAACTATAAATTTTGGTACACCCTGTAACTAGATATTGTGATGAGCTAGTAAATTTAAATGTTCAGGGTCGTCTTGTCTTCCTCCACTCAACAGATCCAGCAGAGTTCTGGGCAGCTCTTCTAGAGAAAGCTTATGCTAAGGTTAGATTTCTAGATTTAAAGGTCAAATAATTTAAACAAGAGGTCAGTCAGATAATTTAAATGTCAGACAAGAAAGCTCATACCTTCAAATAACAAAAATTTACTTCCTTAATGTCAATAAATATTGTTAAAGGTCAAATATCTGAGCTGGTCAAACGAAATAGTATAATATGTCATAATTTCCTTAACATACAGACAACTTATTAATATGGTAAAAAAAATGTTTATTGTCAACAAAAAGTTTAAACCATTTAATCAAATGCCAAATAATGTAGTTGGAGTTGAAATGATTTGGTTAAATGTCTAATACTATAGAATGAAAAAAACTAGATTCAATTTGTTTTTTTTCCAATTTCCACATGAAATATTATATTTTATTTCCTTGCTAGTTGTATGGTTGCTATGAGGCTCTGCATGGAGGATTTACAACTAAAGCTCTTCAAGATCTTACCGGGGGTATAGTGCAATCCTTTTCCCTTACAAGTCAAGATAGACTACTTACTTACCAGGTGTGTATTATACTTATTAGATAAGAAAGAATACTTATCACTTACTTACCAAATCTATTTGATTACAGGTATGTAGTTATTTATGTATATAATTATATATATATCTACCTATCTATCTATCTATCTATCTATCTATCTATCTATCTATCTATCTATCTATCTATCTATCTATCTATCTATCTATCTATCTATCTATCTATATATCTACATATCTAACTATCTATATATCTATCTACCTATCTATCTATCTATCTATACATATCTCAGCCTTACTTAGTAATTTCTAGTAAAAAAAAAACGAATAACTATTAAATTTTTTTTATTAATGCATAAAATATCTAAGGTTATTGGTTTTTACGGTAGATTTAGCAATATGCACTTTACATACTGTACAGTATACAGTGTACAGTGTACAGTGTATAGTGCATGTACAGCATAGAATCCAGAGATGTATGGTTTATTGCAGCTTGTATGTAAGGAAGGGTGTATGTATGTATATAATACAGCACTGACACATAAATAGGAGTTTTATCCTTATAAGGCATGAATGCATTGTATACTAATCTTCATATTGCATAATATATATATATATATATATAATATATATTCACATAAGGAATACATACAACCATTCTTATTCAGGCATTTCACTATCAAAACTTGTAATAAACTGTGAGAAATTTCTAACATGATTTTTCTAAGAATTTTATGAAGAAAAATTCTTCCCATTCTTGAAGAGCATAAATTTGAAATTACAAGACTAAACATAAACAGCATTTTCTGCTAATCTTAGTTGGGAATATGTTGTATTAAATACTGTTAATCTTGATCACTTGATCTCGATATCTAGTAAAGGCACTTTTAATTTGAGAAGAAATGCTAAATCTCTTAATTTCAGTTGTCCCTGCAGAATTACCATGCAGGATGTCGAAAAAAGATTAATTTAATTTGCACATCAATAAAAGATCAAAATCAAGCATTGATGCCAGATCTGGTCGTATAGCTAGCTAGTGAATCTAAATCCAGTTGTTAGACACTAACTGCAGTGTAAAAAGATCCTTTAGGTCTACTTTTTTAATCTAGTTATGAAGGAGACCTCGGCAAATTTCGGTTGAAAACATTAACTTCAGGCACAAATATGTTAATTTTATTTGATAATTTTTAATCTCAAACAATCAAAGGATGGCCAATCTAGGTAATACTTCAAAGAGAACGAGAATTTTTTTATGTTATTCCAAGCCTGGAGAATTAATGGTTAGAGTTAATGTTGTTAAGCCCACAATGTTTCCATCTGCCAGACTTTTCTATACTTTTTAGTAAAGGATAAACAAGGTTTGATAGACTTAGCCGTAAAATCACCCAGAAGAAATTCTGCGCCTATACATTTTTCGAAATGTGTAATCTATAACCATAATCACTGATTACTGTATAATCTAGGTTTTAAACAGTGCTGTACCTAGGTCTACTCTTCTAATAGCTAGTATAAATATGGATAAAACTGATTAATGTTTAATCTAGGTTTTAAACAGTGCTGTACCTAGGTCTACCCTTCTAATAGCTAGTATTAATATGGATAAAACTGATTAATGTTTAATCTAGGTTTTAAACAGTGCTGTACCTAGGTCTACTCTTCTAATAGCTAGTATAAATATGGATAAAACTGATTAATGTTTAATCTAGGTTTTAAACAGTGCTGTACCTAGGTCTACTCTTCTAATAGCTAGTATAAATATGGATAAAACTGATTACTGTTTAATCTAGGTTTTAAACAGTGCTGTACCTAGGTCTACTCTTCTAATAGCTAGTATAAATATGGATAAAACTGATTAATGTTTAATCTAGGTTTTAAACAGTGCTGTACCTAGGTCTACTCTTCTAATAGCTAGTATAAATATGGATAAAACTGACACTAAAAGGCAAACTAGGTTAAGGTAATTATTATTTTCCTTTAATCCTCTATTTTAATCATTTCCAAAAAATAAAATTGGGAATGTTTTTTTTTAGATTAAAATAATATTTTTATATTTTTAGAAATGGATTGGTTACCAGACATGCATATAGTGTAACTGGTCTAGCTAGGGTTAGGGGTCAACTTGGGGATACACATCTAGTCAGGTATTTATCTAGCTAGGATTTGGGGTCAACTTGAGGATACACATCTAGTCAGGTATTCATCTAGCTAGGGTTAGGGGTCAACTTGGAAATACACTTCCAGTCAGGTATTCATGTAGCTAGGGTTAGGGGTCAACTTGGGGATACACATCCAGTCAGGTATTTATCTAGCTAGGCTTAGGGGTCAACTTGGGGATACACATCAATGTCAGGTATTCATCTAGCTAGGGTTAGGGGTCAACCTAGGGTCGGGATACACATCCAGTCAGGTATTCATCTAGCTGGGGTTAGAGGTCAACTTAGGTTCGGGATACACAGCTAGTATTCGCTAGTCTCTTTAATTATTCAATTATTCTTGAGTAAATTTTTCATAAAATGATTTGTCTCTTTTTATTTACTGGAATACAGCGAAAACCAGAAAACAGTAAAATTCTCGTAATTTTTTTTCGTTTAACTGTGAAATGTCGAGACTGTAAAATACATTTTTTTAAATGCCAGATAAATTCTATAATATAGATCAGTATAAAAGATAATAAAGACGACATTTATTCCACAGTTTTCTGGTTCGCGAACATCTCTTAGAAACGTCATTCTTTCTAAAATGTTTCTTATTTTGATATTAATGGTTGACTTCTGCAAATCAAACTTTTCCAGTTTTTTTTTATTTTTGAAATTTAAAATTTTTTATTTAGATTGCGGAATCCCTGGGGTCGAGGGGAGTGGAATGGTCCATGGTCAGAAAGAAGCTGGGAGTGGGACTCCCTCTCAGAGAGAGACAAGGTTAGTCATAGACTTGGATCCAGATACCCAGAGGTGTACTGAAGGGGGGGGGCTATGCACTGTAAATCTCGCATTAAAATGTCCGCCCATTTTGGACTAAAATCGTCCATTCTGGCGACTACTACTAGAAATAATTGTATATACCTTTAATATTGTTTTAAACATACTGACAAAAAAACTACAATATTAGTGATTAAATGGCGTCAATTTTTTTAAAGAGATTTTGCTTTCAAAATAACGATTTTCTAGATACTTTAACAACTTGATCATTGTAGTAAAATTCAGAATTATGATACAGTTTACCATTTTAAGAAGAATTTATTCTAAAACTCGGGTTTCCTTACACTTTCTAAATGTTAACCCTGAGTACTGATATGTGCAAAAACCAACGAAAAACTATATTTTTTTGGTTGGTTTTCTCTTTAATTTTTTTAGAACAAATATTTTGTATAGTTTTCTAATAAAGACAAACTTTTACAGAATACAATTTTGAAATGTTGGAAATCTTTGTGGACCCTTTTAAAAGCTTAAAATCTTAAAAGTTAAAAAAATTATTGCCAATCACTAAAAACTGTATAGTCAGTCAAATAAGTCCTATCTATTTACTATTTTTTGTAAAAGTAATGTTTTACAAATTTTACAACTGTTACAAAAATGTTTTAAAAATTTTACAACTGTTACAAAAATATTTTAAAAATTGATCTAATCCCAAATGATCTGCAGGAACTGTTGTCTGTACGTGTACGCAATGAGGGAGAATTCTGGATGTCGTTTGATGATTTTGCTAAACAGTTCTCCCATCTAGATCTGGTTCATATAGGTTACTATCAACATGAGATTATTATTATTATCATTCTTACTATTACAATTATTACATTTCTTGTTATGATCATTATTAATAAAAATAATGATATTAACAATTATTATTATTCACATTTTTGTTATAGCTGTTAAAGGGAATTATGGTGTAACTTCAAGTGACTCTCCATGCAAAGATAACAATGCCCTTAAAACCTTTGACTGAACAAGGTTGTCGGAACTATTTTCATTTGTCTACAAAAATGCTTTTAATTGTTAAACCCATTGTTTACAAGCTGTTTTAAGTTTTAAAAATGTTAACATTTACTTTCTAGAATCGGCCAAAAATACAAAATTTAATTTGAATTTTGGAAACCACTTTTTATGTAAAATTTTCGGTAATGTTAAGGGTTAAAAGAAAAGCATCAGCTGTATTAATTTCACACTGTGCGCAACGTACACCGCGTTTTACAGAAATTTAAGTGGTGGTTTAAAGATTTAAAAACACAGAGCTCTCTTTACTCGATTAACACTCAAAGGTTTAAAGGGTCCTGCTGTAAATCGGACAATGCCTTCTTTGAACGGGGGTCACTTAAAATCAAGTGTACAGTCCCTTTATTATCATAATTTATATTGTTACTATTATTATCATCTCTAAGGTCCTGACGACTGGATGAGTGAACCTGCCCTGCACAGCAAGAAACCCTGGCGTGCTGTACTGGCAAGACGTCGCTGGAGGTCTGGTTACAATGCCGGGGGAGGTCCAGGATACATAGGTGACATCATTCAACCTTTTTATATTGTAACTGTTATAATAAAAAATCTTATTTTTAGAAATACTTCTTAGAGTAAAATTATTTAATGTTTTAAATTAGAATAATGTGAAAAGAAATGTGATATTGTGTGAAACAACTCTAATCCTGTTTTTTTCCTACCCTGCACGTTCTTTAGTTACAGAATCAACAATAGAAAAACTCAGATAGCAACTTTTATGTGGAGTATAGCAAATCTGAAACGATTGATCTCGATATCCAATGTAGTCACTTTTAAATTTTAGGATGGATGATCGATCCTTTCATTATCTCAGGAGGTATCTCGAAGAGGAATTAAGTTAATCTGCAGATCTGTATTTTTGTGTATTTTTCTATTGTTAATCCGAGCATCTATAATTTTAGAAACAACTGCCATGAATCCTCAGTTCCATATTCAGATCCCTAGAACAGGAACAGCTAAATGCCACGTTGTTGTTTCAGGTTAGAATAATATATATATATCATTGACCTCTTTCTTAATATTGACTTTTATCCTTTGGAAAAAGCTACGTCATAATGACACGTGACTAGTCTTAAAGGGACTGTAAACGTAATTTCAAGTGACACTCCATGCAAAGATGGCAACGTCTGAATCACAACGGTACCCTTGAAACCTTTATCTGAGCAATAATGTGAAAGATATTTTCATATTTTTAAGTTTATATGTGTTAGATTGAGATAATTCCGATGTGTTTCCTTGAATAGCAATGTCCGATTCACGATTTAATTTTACAATCGTTAAATCTTTTCCTTTTTGCCTTTACTTTCATATTCATATTTCATTAGTGCACAAAATAATAATAATAAATGTTTCTAAAATGCAGAAATATTTGTGACGGAAGTTTTTTGTCACTAAAAGTTCGTTACAATTTTAAAATAAACATGCCTATGGCTACAAAAAATTATAACTGAGTTGGTGAGAAAAAACCTAAGGTCAAGGTGTTGCGACACTTTTACGTCGAGGCTTGCTGAAAATTTGATGAATATCTTTCAGAGTTGTCTAGATCTCAGTTTTACAATTAACAATTTTTTTTTAAAAGATTGCTTTAAAAAGAAAGCAAATTAACGTTTCTCCAGGGTGCCCTGAAAAACTTTGTCTGATCAAGTATTATTAAATATAAATGATTTTGATTTAAAAACTGATTATTTTCAATTGTAGTTTTTCTACAAAAGTGATTTATGCATAAAGACATTATCAGAATTTAACGCTTTTAAACCTAGAAAGAATCTTCCACATAATTGATTACATAAACGTTTCAAGACTACCGTTGTGAATCGGTCATTACCATCTTTGCATTGAGAGTCACTTAGAACTACCCTGATTTTGATCTTGCACTTAATATCTGAACACACTCAACATATAACCTGCACTCTTTGACCTTAAGTCAGATTTCTTACCTAATCTTAAACAAAGTTTATTTAGTGACCCAGCAGTACGAAACTAACACACTAAACAACAAGAAGCGAAGAACTCTTCATCATATAGGAAACATTCAATTATTTTTTCAAAATCGTTTTTTTGCGACTTTTCGCCAGTTGTTAATTTTACACATAAAACAGTATACTTCCTAATTATTGTTATTTTTGCTGTTGCTATTATTATTTTGATAATTATTTTCATAACTATTTACATTATTTTAGTTATTTTCATTATTGTAAATTATAAATGTTATCATCTATATAAACCAATCAAGGTGTTTATAAAATTAAATTTGTTAAAGCTGGGCTTAATCACTGAATCAGCCATCATTTTAAATATAAATTATTGTTACATTTATGCTAATACTTGTTTAAATGGTACAAATGTAATAATATAACTGATTGTGTGTTTCCCTAAAGGATTTGCTGTCTACGAGGTTCCCAGTACAATGACAAGATTAACTCCACAATATGTTATAGAACATGTATGTACATATTTAGGGTCCGTCCTAGTATATTATATTTGGTCCCCCCCCCCCTCCCCTCCTATCAATTTTGTACATAACCAACTAATTTTCAGCAAAATTATTATTGTTTATTTAGCATTATCTTAGGGTAGGCTGGGTTAAGAAAATTTCAGGGCCGAGCATTGCGGCTGGGACAGGCCGGGAGGCCGAGGCTAGAAAAGGCTATGGGACCGTGCGCTGCGGCCACACGACTAATTATAATCATGTGTTACATATGAGATGCATGTACAAAATTTACAGGATGGGGGGGTCCAAAAATCCTATACTAGGAAATTACCCATATTCATATTCTGTTTCACCAGAGCTGAAAACTTTAGAATTGTGGATATCGAGACTCCACTTTTGCTAATCTGCAGATTAATATAATCTTTATTTTGATATCCAGGAAAGTGTCTAAATTTCAACCAGTCAGAGTGTTGTTTGCATATACCGAACAGCTAATCAGAAGACGGGAAATTTTTTACACAGTCAATGAGATAACTCTCATTGGTCGGAACCCAGCAGGAAAATCCAGAAGAGAGGATTAAGCAGAAAATTTAAAGTGTCCATAGTGGATATTGAGATTAAGTGAACTGGATTGAGGGTATCCAACACTAGAGTTTCCAGCTCTGTTTGTTTATTTTCCTCTTTTTTTAAACCAGTAGTTTTTATACATTTCTGTATTTAGAAACCTCTTGATGTCACCAATCATAGTGTAGCAAGGGAGGTGGTTACCTTCTTTACACTTCCACCTGGGGAGTACATTGTCATGCCACAGGTACTTGATGTAACCAATTATAGTGTAGCAAGGGAGGTAGTTACCTTCTTTACACTTCCACCTGGGGAGTACATTGTCATGCCACAGGTACCTTGGAAATAGTACTCAGTACATAGTGTAGCAAGGGAGGTGGTTACCTTCTTTACACTTCCACCTGGGGAGTACATTGTCATGCCACAGGTACTTTGGAAATAGTACTCAGTACAAATGTAATAAATAAGAGCAAATTAGGGACTGTAAGCGTAATTTCAAGTGACCCTCTAGCAAAAGTGGCAATCCCCAATTTACAAAGGGGCCCTTAAAAGCTTTGCTTGATTAAGTATTGATTAGATATACATGTTTTTCATTTCATTTAAAAGCTTATTTTCATTTCCAATTATCAGAATCAAAAACTTTTTCTACTTAAAAAAACGACGTTATCCATCACATTTTTATAAATTAAGGTTTCAAGGGTATCGTTTCAAGGGTCACTTGAGATCACACTAACAGTCCCTTTAAATGTAATATTTAGACGAATGTACCGAACTGTGATGGAAAGTTTCTTCTGCGAATACTCACAGATGAGCAGAGTAATATCTGGTAAATAGAAAACCTTTATAAATATCGTCTTTATCGGACCTTTTTCTGAAAAAGATTTAATTTTTATAAATATAAACTTGGATAGTCGGTCTGTCTTTTATTATCCAACAAACGCCAAAACAACTAAACTGTTAGGGGCTAAATTTTTTGTGGACCCAAGGAAAGATTTATGAATTGTCAGAATTTTAAAATTTTAAAATTTTGGCTTAAAAAATTACGATGGTCATTATTCACTAAAAGAAATCGATAAAATCGCTATTTTTTGTTATTTTTTGTAATTGCCACAAAAAAAATTAAAGTTTATATGATTATGTTTCTCTTATTATTTAGGGAGGTTAATGAGGACAATCAGCTTATCAGAAATGTCTTGGTTGAATTTGAGGACAGCCTGAAATATGTAAGTTTAAAATGAATTAATTATCACGCTTTAACGGATTGGTTGTAAATTTTTTTAGAACTTTAAAATTTAATAAATTTGCTGAAGTCATTTCTTTTCTTATTTTCAACATCGGTTTTTATCTGAAGTTGGTTAGTTGGTGTTTATTTTATAAACGTCGAAATAGCTAAACATCTAAACATCTAAGCATCTAAACATATCAGGAAAGTAACCCTTTTCCTCCCATTTCCAAAATGAGATCTGCCCTTTATGTACTTTAAAATTAAAAACAACCAAAGATAATTCGTTAAGATTTCAATTTATTAAATAAAACAAAAAATATCTTATTCTGAACGAATTCATTCATATTTTCATCAATTTTGAAAGCACCAAAAAAAGGAAGATTAAATTTTATAAAAGGAAGGATTTGGGTTATTTTGTGATAACTTTTCATAAGCCATATTTTTAAATCCGCCACGCCACAACTATTTTTAAATGTCAAAAACGGTTATCAAGACATCTTTTAATTTTCTGGAAATTCCGGTTTTTAAACAATATCACTTTTAAAAAGAATAGAAATAATGTAATTACTTAAAACAGTAAAACGGCTTGGTTTCTTCAAATTTTCTGTTTTTGCGTGTCTCTACAAGTTGTATAAATGCATTGATTCCTTTTTTAAATAATTTGCTTCCCTCAAACACTTTGTAATTGCACCTTGACCTAGGGCTATGCGCCGTAAACACGGAACGATACTTTTTTAAAATTAACGAACTGGTTGTACCGTTAGCAAACATATCATTCGAAAAATTAACGAACGAACGTTAGAAACCCTGCCATTTTGACAAAGATCCAAAATTGTTAATAATCAATTATCTTTATTTATCAACCATCGTTGACGATCCACCATCGTTGAGAACTTGAACGTTAACAAAAAAAAATAGAAAAGTGTTAAACGGGGCCAAATTTTGAAACGGGATGATTTTGAAAAGAACGAACGTTGAACGAACCCCTTGTTAACGAACGTGGAACAGTTTTTGCGTTCCCAACCTCATAGGCTTTCTATGTTTTTAAGTTGAGGATAAAAGATCATTAATAGATTGGTAACTTTGATGCCTTAAATTGCCAAAAAAAAATGAAACTAAGAATCTGCAGAAATGTTGCATTGTTTTCCTCTGTACTTGTGAGCGGGAAATTTTAATTGCAACATTTCTTGGTATTTTGATTACATATGCCAGTGCGCCTTGGTCCTGGAAACCTCACGTTTGTTATTCAATTCTGGAAAATATTTGCACACATTGAGGAACTTAACAAATAAGAAGGTTTTCCCACGGATTTATAAACTTATAACTCGCACACATTTAAACCTTTTCTCTCTTGCATGGAAGCCTTTGTTGCTCTAAATATTTTGGTTTTTTAATTTTAATTAATTTTTTTTTTACATTTTCCAAATTATTTTTCTTTTTGAGAACTAGTCTTACTAATGTTTATATGTGCCCCCAGGCAACATATTTTGATGAGAGTGACGTATCTACCTCAAGACTAAAATTTTCCTACAAGTTTTCTCCCAAGGTAGATTATTTTACTCACATGTATATATTTTTCAACAAAAAAAGATAAGATTCAATATAAAGATTTATGTAAAAGTATTTACTGTTTCATAAATTCAAAACAGATTTTTAGTGGGAACAGAATCTTAATACACCTATGTTGAATTTTGTCATGAAAAATTACTTAGAGAAAAAAAACTATTCCGCGATTCCCTTTACAAAATCCAGCCTAAATCTACAAAAGTTGCAATTAAAACATGTATGTTAATTCATAAACTTTTTTGATTAGAGTGCCTAATCATTTTTGGTTTTGGTGTGCTTTAACAAATGACCTGCATGGTGCATGAAACTATTAATTGAAAGTATTGGGAAGGTTAATTAAAAGTATGCTGCATTGCTGCATGTCAGTTATCAAATATTCAAATTTTTCTAAATTGTTTTTATTTTAAATTTGTTTTGCACATTCTATTTTCCGACATCAAATATGCAGTTCACCGGCAAAGGGTCAAACGACAAATGGTCAAAAGCGCGACAAAGGGTCAAACGACACTGGGTCAAACGACAAAGGGTCAAAAGCGCGACAAAGGTTCAAACGACACTGGGTCAAACGAAAAAGGGTCAAACGACAAAGGGTAAAACGACATAGGGTCAAAAAATGCGACAAAGGGGCAAATTTTTTTTTTAACTTTGACATCTGTTACAGTTAGTATTTATTTATTATTATTTAGGGTTAGGTTAGGTTAAGACACTTTCTGGGCCGAGCGCTGCGGCCACATGGTCAATTATATCCATGTCTAACATATAAGATCCATGTACAAAATTGATAGGAGGGTTGCGAGTTTCCTATGATTCAAATCAAAAAATATTTTTATCATTTTGACCTTTTGTCGTTTGACCCTTTGTCGCACTTTTGACCCTTTGTCGTTTGACCCTTTGTCGTTTGACCCTGTGTCGTTTGACCTTTTGTCGGTGAATCTAGAATATGCAGATTTAGAATTTTGTTCTGAATTAATCTATATCCCCCTTTTTTCTTTTCTATTGATTCTGGAAACAATAATTGCAAAATTCTCCTAACTCTGGCATTTCCAAAATGTGGTGTGCCTTTTTTGTGCTGTAATACCCGAATTTCGCTCAGTTTTAAGCAAAATTCAATTTTTAAAATTTTATATAAGGCAAAGCACATTATAAAAATGTCACGACTAGGGTTATTTTTTTATTATTATCTATAGAGTAAATATTTTAAAAGTAGATTTAAGGGGAAAAGGCCGAAAATTATTTTTAAAATCCAAGACGACCTTTTACATTGTCTTGCTTCTGTCATTTTTGTAGGACAGGGTGTATTTATTTAGAATTTAGATGGATAGCGTGCACCAATTCGAATATAAATAGACAATAGTGTACAACAATAAGACGGTTAGCGGAATTTTGTCATTGTAAACAATGAGAACCATAAAACTGGAATAGGAAGACGACTTTCATACCCAACTTAGGACTCTTAATATTCCAATGAACATAAGACATTTTGCAGTGTAAACAGACCAGCAGACCACTTAATAAATTGTTTAATAAGTTAAACTAGTATAATTATTTGCTATAATGTCGTCTCCCTATTCCACAGTTTTCTGGTTCTCACTGTATAAACAGTTATTTTGAAGAAGAGCCAAACAGTAATTAGTAAATGGCTTGATGTATATGTACATCTTAATATATATTTGTTTAGACGGATAGCCGTATAATCTTGAACCGCCTTGTCTCAAAATATCCTCCTGATATTGATGCCACCATTCTTCTCAAGATTCTCAAAGGACACTGGAAGGTAGATATATTGTTTTTGATTCTTGTTAAAGGGAGTGTTCTCAATAAATGAAAAGGGGGTATAGTCTAAATCAGAATTGAATTTGGAATTGATTGATATCAATCTATTTTCATCCAAAGAGAATATAATATATATTAGAAGGGAATTTACTAGAAAAAAGTGTAAAACGGCCATTTTGTTGTACTGTTTCCATACTGCAGGTGTACCTCACATATTTGTGTTATATAACCTTTTGGGCCCTTGAATATAATTTTATAGAAATTCTAAAATTAATGTTAAAATAAAACCAAATTATGAAATAGGCTTGTTTCATAATTGACCAATGATCATTTCACATAGACTCTATGCCTTTCACTTTACAAACGATGATTTTCTGTAATAACTATAAATCAAATGATGTTTTTTATTCACCTAATTCATTATAAAGTTTATTTAACATCTTTAAAAAATTCGAAATTGAAATGAATAGTCTAGGGAACATACTGTATTAATGTACTCTACTGAATATAATTTGTGAACATTTACATGATTAGTACACTTTGAACTCCCTTTCAGGCTGAAAGGGACTGAAAAAATTCATACCGAGAGATTCTCTAAATTCCCCTCTAATATATATCCTATTCTCTATGTTTTTATCTGATGCTTAATTGAGTAATGAGAAAATCCCTGATTTGTATTACAGCTAAAACATAATTAATTCAATTTATGTCAAACTGATTCTTTTTTCCAATAAAAACATTCGGATCACAAATAGTCATATATAGGTTTTTTTTAATGATGTGTGTGTGTACTTTGAAGGATAATACCACGGTCGCTAGATATCTTCCGTTAGAATTAAGTTTAACTGTGTTCTCCGCTGTAAGCAATGCATGTTATTTACAATAAAATATTCTTATTATGTATGTATTACTTTTAAAAAGTAGGAGTGACAAAAGCTTACCAGATAAATATATAAACAAATAGAATGCATATGTATTTATAAGTTTAATAAATTCATTCCTGATAATTATTTTATTATTTGCGAGATGACTAATTACTTGTGAACGCAAATTTAGTTGTGATTGCAATATGAATAATTAGTTTCTACAAATTCCGATCAAAAACAATACTTATCGACATTATATTTTCAATTGGCTCATATTAAATATTCTTTATTGTTAAAAACTAAACCATAATGCATTGTTATTTATGTTGGAACATAAATAATATTACTACAGTGGTAACCATAAATCTCTGGAATACGAAAACTAAACTACTACTAGACTCAAGTTATGACTTTAAATTATACAAATGAACATGAGACACAGCAATTGTGCAGTGTAAACTGACCCAATTCACTCGAAATGCTATTTGCTTTATAACAACATCAAATGCGTACTTCAGTATTGGTTGTAAGTTGTATGTCGTCTTCCTATTCTACATAATCTTGACAAGTGATTTACGAAGTTATGATTGAATATATTTGCTTTGGTACAACATCAAATAGGCTTCATGTCGTCTTCCTAATCCACAGTTTTATGATTGTCACTGTATGAAATCATTTTTATGTATTTTTCTATATTAAAAAAAATGTACTTCATAAAAATATTGTAGGCGTATCTGATAGAGAAACCAAGCCTAGAGCTTTGCCGGCACCTGGTCATGCTCCGGGACTATAATATTTCAGGTCCGGTAGTTATCTTTAAAATTCAACATTTTACATTTTTTCCATCCCATTTTTCCATTGAATATACACGTGATAGTTTGAATTATGTGTTATGCAGGTTTACCCTCAAAAAATGCTTGTATTTATAAGATACTAGGCTTTTATCTTAACTTTTAATTATTGCTTTGCACTGAAATGTCAATTTTTAATCATTCTCAATCATTTCACTAATTTTTCTATTCAAGTTGCCGTATTTTTCAAAAATAATAAATGTCGACATTTTTCTGTAATCAAAACTGTTTAACTTTGTAATAAGCTTATAAGAGGTTCTTCTTTACACACTTTGTTAATACACTCCTACTTCATTTTTTAAAAGCACTTTTTAATATTTATATTGTAATTAATGGTTTTATTTTTTATTTATAGGACGGATAAATTTGATGGAGATTCCTGTCCTACTGCATATGCTTCATTTCTGGAAGGTAAGACGACATTTAATTTCTTTGTTGATATTTGAAAATTAAACATTTACATTTGCGTTTTTATGTATTATATATATATTGTTTACTATGGTACTTATAGAACAATTTAATAAGTATTTAATAATTTTAAAAATTACAGAAAGACAATTGTACCACTCATTTCCGCTTATTACTGTATATAAATATATATCAAGCTGTTAAACAGCTTGGATACACATAAACATAGAAGTCAAGAGATGCTGTCAATTTAAAAAAGCTTTTCTTTAATTACTTGTAAACTTATAATTTTAAAAAAGCTTGCTAACAATCAGAACCTACATAAAAAGTCGTCTTCATTGTATTGATATAATCACCTACCACCGTTTACTGAAAAAAAAACAGTTAAAAGTCGACCTTTTAAACATATTATAAAATATGATATAAATATCATATCATGTAAAGTTCCATAAAACAAATTACCAAATCTTAAGCGATATTTTTTTAATCAAACAACGACGACTTTAACATTCCGATTTATTCTGGTTAACGTTTTTGTCATTCGTATGCACCCTGATTCTGAACCAGTAAATTGTGGAATTGGAAGCAATAATTAAGCATATTTTATGTTGCTACAAAAAAAATAGTTTTACTTAAACCGCTTACTAAGTGAAATTGGTCTGTTTAAAGTCCTTGAGTCTAAAAGTCGTCTTCTCATTCCAGAGTTTTCTGGTTCTCGCTTTACTAATACTAATGATTTAAGTTATGGTACATATACTAATTTAAGTTTAATTGTAGGCCGCCTTTCTAAAATTTGATCGTCATCATTCTGGTAAAACCTCCAGCTTTAACCTGAGGTTAATATTATGGGAGGCTGGACTCAGTGTTTCAAACAAGGTTCTTGAATGTCTAGTTCTCAGGTTGGAAACTCTAGAATTAAAAATAAATTTTTTACATTTTCTAAATTAATTCTTTTATTTAAAAACCTTGGTTTGACTCCAATATACAGGATTACCCTCAAAGGAGACGACTGTACGGAATTTATGATGTCTGTTTCTTTATATTTATTATTCCCTGCAACTGTAAAATTGTTTAATTCTTTAGCAAATCAATAATAAAGCCATTAAACGACTGTATTTAAGGCATACGACTAAATTAAACCTTGTAATCATCATATTTATAAAATTTCATGTCGTCTTTACGGTCTCAAACATTGTGCAGGTAACTATCTACATTTGCAAGACTGCAAATGGCGTGTTTCAATCTTCAATATTGGAAAATCGCGATTTATGTTTGCGTCAGAATATTTTTTCATCATATTGTTTTGATTAATACATATTTGTTGTCTAGGTTTGCTAAAAACCGATTTGTATCTTCCGAATCCTACGTAACTGTTATGATTCGTCTTCATCTGGCACACGGTAAGTTTTATTAGTTTGGCACTACAATAATTGAAATAATTTACTTTTTGATTTTAATTCCGTGGAATATGTTTAGTGATTTTAAATTAATCTGAAATGGAAATATTATATTATTACGAATTTTTATATAATAATAAATATATATATATCAAGACAAGAAAAGGTATTATTAATCATAAAAACTTAAAACAGACAGCAAAGAGATTTTAAATAATACAATGAACAGTTTTACATTATATTTCATTAAATTATTGCATATTTTAGAACGGTTCCACAATATTTCATTATTTTTACATATTTTAGGACGGTTCCACAATATTTCATTATTATTACATATTTTTGGACGGTTCCGCAATATTTCCTTGTTATTACATATCTTAATTAATATTAATATTTTAAAACGGTTCCACAGTATTTCATTATAATTAATATTTTAGAACGATTCCACAATATTTCATTATAATTAATATTTTAGAATGGTTCCACAATATTTCATTACTAATATTTTAGAACGGTTCCACAGTATTTCATTATTGAACGGTTTCACAATATTTCATTATTATTAATATTTTAGAACGGTTCCACAATATTTCATTAATATTAATATTTTAGAACGGTTCACACAATATTTCATTATTGAATGGTTCCACAATATTTCATTAATATTAATATTTGAGAACGGTTCCACAATATTTCATTATTGAATGGTTCCACAATATTTCATTATGATTAATATTTTAGAACGGTTCCACAGTATTTCATTATTGAATGGTTCCACAATATTTCATTATTATTAATATTTTAGAACGGTTTCACAGTATTTCATTTTTGAACGGTTTCACAATATTTCATTATAATTAATATTTCAGAACGTTTTCACAATATTTCATGATTATTAATATTTTAGAACGGTTCCATAGTATTGACACCAAGATGAAAGGGAATCCACTTTCTCTTGAGGAAATGATTTTGATGACTATTTACTCCTAAAAAAAGCTTCGATGAATTTGTGATCAATTTTTGTTATATCAACTCTAATCAACTTGTTATCAACTTGTGATTAATTTATTATTAATTTGTTGCATAAATTGTCAACTCAACTTGTTATATACTTTAGATCTACATAAGATTACATGTGATCAACTTGTGATTTAATGAATTAATGATCAACTTACTATCAAAAGTGGATCAGCTTGTGCAAACAACTTAATTATTTAGGAGCAACTTTTGAAAAACAAATTAAATCAATTTCTTGTTAAACTTCTGGTCTTTGTTTGATAGAGAAAAAAAAGTTTTCCTGGTAAAAAGTATTAAGAACATAATCTTTTAAATTTTGTCTCTTTTTACTGAGGAAACGTCTCTGAATGTAAATTTGTAAACACGATTTTCAAAGTTATTTTTCTTTCTCTTTCTAATTGTCTTCTCTAAGCTTTTGATAAGATGGTTTTCATAATTTTTAACGAAACCAATGTCTAAAAATTTGTAAAATAAATTTGATGCTAAGTCTAATTAATGCCCCAAAGAATTATATAAGTCTCTTCTAGTGTGTGAAGATAAAATATCAGTTTCTTATTAAGATGTTTATTTTGCTGTTTTCAAATGTTTAGTTTTAATATTATTTGTATATATTTAAATAAATATGCTTAAAGTTTGAAATATTTAATTTTGACATTTTTTCAGGAAATTATTTACATTTCAACCGTTTATAAAACCATCCAGGGGTCATGTGAGTTGCCACGACAAAGGAATCAAGCCACAAACTCAAATTTTCTACTCCCTATATCTTAGCACTGATGGTATAAACCTTAAATTTGATATTTCAAACTTACATTATTTGATCTTAACAGAATTCATAGTTTTAAATATTTAAAGTCTTTCGACACTGGGTTTGCATAGATAAAGGGATTAGAAAATCAGAATTTGGGACAAAGGCTCAATTCCTTTTTGGGCCCGCTCGGATCTGCAGGACATGCAAAGTTTAAGGAGAACATATATACAAATGTCTTGCATTTATTATATAGAAGATAGATAGATGAAACAGATAAATCCATTTATGAAGGATATATGACATATTTGTGCCCATAACAAGTGTAAATTCATATTTTATAATGCAGTGCATGTCACTTCTGTATGCCGAGTCCATTAGCGCCTGATCCAATTAGGGCTCAGTCATGTGTTTGTTGTCTATTCTGAACCAATAGAAATAGTATGGCGGTAACATCTATCTTTCTATCTATCTCATTATCCAATTAGAGATATGAATCCTTCAATTGGCGCTAATAGTAAATGGAAATATTTACTTTACTGAAACTATAGTGCTTGTAAAGGTAGGAGAAGAAGACGTCACATACTTTCCACCGAACTAACATATACTAAAAATCCCTGTACTTTTATATTTACAAGGAATTAAAGTTGTAAACTGCAAAACCAATTTGAAATAAATGTTTCTTTTTAGAAGGAAAATTGCTTCTACCTAATACCTAATAAAAAACGAGTGTATTAAAAGGAGAAGATTCCAGGATCCAACACTAATGATTTGAGGATTTGATAATCCTCTGCACTTTCCACATTTATTGTTATTAGACAACATATCCTTCATTATTAATCAACTTACTTTACCATGGAGAAGAGAGATCAGGAATTTTGAAAATGTAAAGTTTTTTGAGTTTAATTATTAATTATGCCATTTCAGCAGCATGTCATGTGTCAATTTTCTTAGAATTGAAAAAGAACAATCTCCCCTCACTAGTATCAGTAGAAGTAAATAATTCCATTTACTGATAGCGCCTAATGAAGGATTTTTCTCTAATTAGATAATGAGATAGATAGAAAGATAGATGTTACCACCATACTATTTCTTTTGGTTCAGAATAGACAACAAACACATGACTGAACCCTGATTGGATCAGGCGCTAATGGACTCCGCAATCTACATGCTAGAATGTTTTCATTTACCATATTTACCATATTTACCATATTTACCATATTTACCATATTTAAGGAACTGTAATTTACGATTTACAAGGGTACCCTCTAAACCTTTACCTGGGCATCAATCTGACCAAATACATTGTAAGTCATTATCTTTCTTTAATTTTAGTTCAAACCAATTTTTGGGCCGAACGCTGTGTCTAGAACAGACTAAAGGACCATCCTCATCGCTCTTAAAAGTTTCATTTACTTAAATCATTTACTTTGACACAAAAAAATTTTCTAATAATATCTTTGCAACATGTTATTTAAATCTTTTATATTTTAAACTCGGATTATTTTATTTAGCAGTGTTTATAGTTTGAAATATTTAAGGTCTACGAGATTGGGTTGCAAAGATAAATGGATTAAAAATCAGAGTTTATGGCAAAAACTCAGTTCCGTTGTAATGACTAAAGATTTGTTGTTTGTTTGAAATTGTAGAAAATTTAAACCAATTTGTAGAAAGAATCTTGAGATTTTATTGTGCAAAGTCAGCATTACAAATATATAAAATCAACTTTAACAAGCAAATGGTCATTGAAGTATCCTATAGGACCTATTGTTAGGACATCTGGGTCATTAGCCCCCCCCCCTTCTCACCTCCTCCTGGAACAGGGATGTATTATTTTTAGAGAAAATTGTGAACAATATCAATAAAACATGTTTTCTGGAGTTAGGTAAAATGTGATAAATGTTTAACCCTGATATATTATATAGATACTATTATAGAGACTTCAAGGATATAAAGCTTCCTAGTGTAACAACATATACCATCTGATGGATTAAAATATCTATCCATCCAATGGATTATATAGCAATCCATCCGTTTTACTTGTCTCTAAACTATTCATCCAATGGATTATATAGCAATCCATCCGTTTTATTTTTCTCTAAACTATCCATCCAATGGATTAAATAATAATCCATCCGTTTTACTTGTCTCTAAACTATCAATCCAATGGATTAAATAGCAATCCATCCGTTTTACTTGTCTCTAAACTATCCATCCAATGGATTAAATAGCATTCCATCCGTTTTACTTGTCTCTAAACTATCAATCCAATGGATTATCCGCTTTACTTGTATATAAACTATCCATCCAATGGATTATATAGCAATCCATCCGTTTTACTTGCATTGAAACTATCCATCGAATGGATTAAATAGCAATCCATCCGCTTTACTTGTCTCTAAGCTATCCATCCCATGATTATACAGCAATCCATCCGTTTTACTTGTCTCTAAACCATTCATCCAATGGATTTAAAGGAATTCATCCGTTTTACTTGTATTGAAACTATCCATCCAATGAATTATAAAGCAAACCATCCGTTTTAATTGTCTCTAAGCTATCCATCCCATGATTATACAGCAATCCTTCCGTTTCACTTGCCTCTAAACTATCCATCCAATGGATTATATAGCAATTCATCCGTTTTACTTGTATATAAACTATCCATCCAATGGATTATATAGCATTCCATCCGCTTTACTTGTATATAAACTATCCATCCAATGGATTATATAGCAATTCATCCGTTTTACTTGTATATAAACTATCCATCCAATGGATTATATAGCATTCCATCCGTTTTACTTGTCTCTAAACTATCCATCCAATGGATTAAATAGCAATCCATCTGTTTTACTTGTCTCTATACTATCCATCCAATGGATTATATAGCAATCCATCCGTTTTACTTGTCTCTAAACTATCCATTCAATGGATTATATAGCAATCCATCCGTTTTACTTGTCTCTAAACTATCCATCCAATGGATTAAATAGCATTCCATCCGTTTTACTTGTCTCTAAACTATCAATCCAATGGATTATCCGCTTTACTTGTATATAAACTATCCATCCAATGGATTATATAGCAATCCATCCGTTTTAATTACCTCTAAACTATCCATCCAATGGATTATATAGAAATCCATCCGTTTTACTTACCTCTAAACTATCCATCCAATCGATTATATAGCAATCCATCTGTTTTACTTCCCTCTAAACTATCCATCCAATGGATTATATAGCAATCCATCTGTTTTACTTCCCTCTAAACTATCCATCCAATGGATTATATAGCAATCCATACTTTTTTCTTACCTCTAAACTATCCATCCAATGGATTATATAGCAATCCATCCTTTTTACTTGTCTCTAAACTATCCATCCAATGGATTATATAGCAATCCATCCTTTTTACTTACCTCTAAACTATCCATCCAATGGATTATATAGCAATCCATCCGTTTTACTTGTCTCTATACTATCCATCCAATGGATTAAATAGCAATCCATCTGTTTTACTTCCCTTTAAACTATCTATCCAATGGATTAAATAGCAATCCATCCGTTTTACTTCTTTCTAAACTATCCATCCAATGGATTATATAGCAATCCATCCGTTTTACTTGTCTCAAAACTATCCATCCAATGGATTATATAGCAATCCATCCGTTTTACTTGTCTCTATACTATCCATCCAATGGATTAAATAGCAATCCATCCGTTTTACTTGCATATAAAGTATCCATCCAATGAATTATATAGCAATCCATCCGTTTTACTTCTTTCTAAACTATCCATCCAATGGATTATATAGCAATCCATCCGTTTTAATTACCTCTAAACTATCCACTCAATGGATTATATAGCAATCCATCCGTTTAAATTACCTCTAAACTATCCATCCAATGGATTATATAGCAATCCATCCGTTTTAATTACCTCTAAACTATCCAATCTATGGATTATCCATCCAATAAATTATATATTCAGCCTTAACACTCTATTCCAATGTTATCATCTTGCCTTATATCTACAGCATGCAAGATAAAAAGTAATTAACTAAGTGTTCCCATGACATTTAATTTTGTACAATATGCATTATGTCGTGTATCCATATACATATATAGACATATCGAGATTCATATTTTTCTGTGTCGTCTGCCAGGAATGTTACGGCTATAACAGTTAGAGGAGCCAAATGTAAATCTATGTATCCGTTCTTTGTGATAAATATTTTTTCCTTCAAACAATATCTTTCTATTGTTTACCTTGCTCCCAAGTGCCAATACTATAAGTGTGGTCAAAAGCCATGGTACAACCGATTAGTAAGTACTCAATTGTACTAGTACTATTGTGTCAATAGTATATAGTTTAGGTAACTGTGCGAGTTCTGGTAACAGTGCTAGTTTTGGTAACAGTACTAGTTCTGGCAACAGTACTAGTTTTGGTAACAGTGCTAGTTCTGGTAACAGCACTAGATCTGGTAACAGTGCTAGTTCTGGTAACAGTACTAGTTCTGGTAATACTACTAGTTCTGGTAACAGTACTAGTTATAATAACAGTACTAGTTCTGGTGACAATACTAGTTCTGGTTACAGTACTGTTTCTGGTAACAATATACTAGTTCTGGTAACAGTACTAGTTCTGATAACAATACTAGTTCTGTCAACAGTACTAGTTCTGGTAACAGTGCTAGTTCTGGTAACAGTGCTAGTTCTGGTAACAGCACTAGTTCTGGTAACAGTACTAGTTTTGGTAACAGCACTAGTTTTGGTAACAGCACTTGTTCTAGTAACAGTATTAGTTTTGGTAACAGCACTAGTTCTGGTAACAGCACTAGTTCTGGTAACAGTACTAGTTTTGGTAACAGTACTAGTTCTGGTAACAGCACTAGTTCTGGTAACAGTACTAGTTTTGGTAACAGTACTAGTTCTGGTAACAGTACTAGTTCTGGTAACAGCACTAGTTCTGGTGACAATACTAGTTCTGGTTACAGTACTGTTTCTGGTAACAATATACTAGTTCTGGTAACAGTACTAGTTCTGATAACAATACTAGTTCTGTCAACAGTACTAGTTCTGGTAACAGCACTAGTTCTGGTAACAGTACTAGTTTTGGTAACAGTACTAGTTCTGGTAACAGTACTAGTTCTGGTAACAGTACTAGTTTTGGTAACAGTACTAGTTCCGGTAACAATACTAGTTTTGGTAACAGTACTAGTAAAAGTTCCGATGTTATGAGCTAGTTAAATTGTTAGTGAATCAGTAGTTGAAAAACTGATAAAAAAACAATGTCTGTTTATAAAGAATCAACGTGATCAAGTTCCATCTGTTCTAAAAATACAAATAGACTTACGCGTTTGCGTATATAAAACCTTTCCCCTTCTTGGTTTGCGTCACAGTAGTTACGCAACCAACATACACAAGGGAAATACAATCATCTTACAATTTAACCTTAAAGGAACTGGAAGTGTAATTTCAAGTGACCCTCAATGTTGGAAATGTCCGATTCACAACGATATTCTTGAAACCTTTCTGTGATCAATAATAATAACAATGAAAAGTGTTTAATTCTGATAATTACTGTTTGTTTTCCTGTAGTAGCACTTCATTTTGGCAGAGGAATCACAATTGAAAATAATTAGTTTTTGAGATTAATTAACTTTAATTAATACTTAATAAGACAACGACTTTAAGGATATGGTTGGGAATCTGGCAATACCATCCTTGCATGGAGGGTCACTTAAAATTATGGTTACAATCCCTTTCAATGTAACAGTTCGATTATGAGTTTACCTCTAGTGCATTCTTATTTTTATATATGTATCTATATACAGGAAAATATATATTGTTATATATATATATGTATCTATATACAGGAATATATACAGGAATACAGGGGTTACTATGTGGGCTAATCCCCCTCCCTCTCTGTTTAAGTGAAAACAATGTTGCTTAAGAAGGTGGTCAGTCCCCAGCAGGGGGCTGTGTCCCTCCTGGAAATTTGAGGAAGGTTAAGCCTCACCCCCCCCCCCTGGACTCTGTATGTATACATAGACATATCAAATATTAGTGTATTCTTTAATTGGATTATTCTTAAACTTTCACACATATTTTTAATAATGTGTTATAAGATATGTTACACTTTTTCTTCATCAAATATGTTACACTTTTTCTTAATCAAATATGTTACACTTTTTTCTTAATCAAATATGTTACACTTTATTCTTAATTCAAGATTAGCGAGTTCTCTAGTTGACGGATAATTAAACTGCATATTAAAGCCTTGGCCTTACTTATAAATGCCTATCATATCTATAAACATAGATTTTCATCATTAACTGAAAAAGTAAAATCTTGTATTGCGTTCAGTTGGCAAGGATGAAGATATCAATATTGTTGGTAAGTTTTTCTTTAAAATAGCAGTTCAGAATTTTGCACACTTTTCTAATAAAATTTGTAGAACAATGAACATTGTTCTCCGTAATTAGAACTTTTTATATATTTTGCACACTTTTCTAATAGAATTTGTAGAACAATGAACATTGTTCTCCGTAATTAGAACTTTTTACATATTTCTGCTTTTTTACCTTTATGATTCTAAGATTCGAAAAAGGAAACAGATTTATATAAATATAAATTATTTGTATATAGAATTTTAAATTAACAAAAATAACTACAGTAAGAGTTAAAGTAAAGAATATTTAAAAACTAAGATAAACTTTTCTGCTTTGTTGAAGATTAACTTTCTGAATTTTAAAGAAAGATTTATCTTGAACATGATAAACATAATCTTGAACATGATAAACATAATCTTGAACATGATAAACATAATCTTGAACATGATAAACATAATCTTGAACATGATAAACATAATCTTTAGTTAGTTCTAAAATTTTATATTTGGTGATTTCTGGTGATTTCTAATTAGCCTGAAGCCGAATTTAAAAAATTTTAGTCGTTGCTTAAATTTGAGACGCGGCTCAAACATGGTTATTCTACGAAATTGTATAATTGTTTCTAGATTTGAGCCGGCGCTTAATTGAAACCGGTTTTTGGCGGATCAGCGACGCGGTTTAAATTCTTTAAATACGACCTCTGAACTAACTGTTATGCCTGCTTAGAAACGATTAAACTATGTTTTAGCTATTCTCTTCTTCTAATGTTTCAGTGGTATAATAAATTATTAGAAAAGATAATAAAATCTTAACTTAAAAGGAATGTGAACGTAATTTCAAGTGACCCTCCATGCAAAGATTGTATTGCACAACTCACAACGATACCCTTGAAAGTATAAATTATACAGATTATTTTCAATTTGGTAGTTTCTCTTTAAAAGATACATGCGCATTTCTACTGCAGCAAAACACATAGGAATTATAAAACTAAACACTTTAAAGTCTAGAAAAACGACAATATTTTACAAAACTTTGTTATCAGATAAAGAGTTCAAGGGCAGGGGCGTATTCAGGAATTTATCCAGAGGGGGCTTAAAAAAATTTCTTTACATGGGGCCTGTAAATCCCCTGAAATCCATAGTCCAGGGGGGGCTGAGCCCTCATAGCCCAACCCCCTGCATACGCCTCTGTTCAAGGGTACTTTTGTGAATTTGGCATTGCCACCTTTGCATGGAGGGTCACACGAAATACGCTTTTATTCCCTTTAAAGGGTTCTATTATAACTAAAATATATTGAAACCCAAAAAAAGAAAATTGATAAAATTGTATTAAAACTCTGTATTAATCTTTATCTTCTCTTTTGTTCAGCTTTATCTGCCTTTCTGTGTGTGTGAGGTGAATCTTGGATTCTTTGGAGAAGTCCATGGCACCTCCATCCCTCTCTTGGGCCCTCAGCACCCTCCTGTGCCCTTGGGAGCAGGTCCTGATCATGGACCGGTTCATCCTGATGAACTAGATATACATGGTTCTCCACATTCTTCATTCCTTCTCCCTCATCCCCCCTTCGCTGGAAATTTAGCACCCCTTATTCATCATGATACCAGTCCTTATCATCATCCTAAACCTCATCATCCTGATCCTTATCACCCAGAACCTTATCATCCTGATCCCTATCATCAAAAACCTTATCATCATGATCCACACCACCCTAATCCATACCTTCCAAAGCCTTATCATCATGAGCCATACCATCCTGAACCGTTTCATCATGAGCCTTACCATCCTGATCCCTACCATCCTGAACCATACCATCCAGAACCTCATCATCCTGATCTTTATCACCCGGAACCTTACTATCCTGAACCGTATCATCATGAACCGTATCATCATGAGCCGTACCAACCTGAACCATACCATCCTGAACCGTATCATCATGAGCCGTACCATCCTGAACCATATCATCCTGATCCATACCACCCTGAGCCATATCATCCTGATCCCTACCACCATGAACCCCACCATCCTCGACAGTATCCCCAACACCATGAACCCTACCATCATGATGTACCCACATATGTGCATGTCAGCTATGGATATGGACACTATGCACCACATGATGGACCTGGACCTATCCCTGTTGGACCTGGGCCAATTGTTGATGGACAGTTAACTGGTGTAGTTCCTGCTGGACCTGGAGATGCTTTAGCTAAAGTAATTCCCGGTGCTGAAGAGCTTGGGTTCGCTCCCATATAGATAATTTATATATTATTTATCTAATTTAATAAAACTGAATCTTAAAAATAAGTTATTTTAAGTTATTGATTTTTTTGACCAACCTTCTTTAATTTTTCCTGCTGTTCAGAAATGAAGGGGTCACAAAATATGGCCTGCTGCATAAATCAAAAGTAATGAAATCAATGAGTTTGTTAAATAATTATCAACATTACAAAATGATTTTTCGAAGTTGCGGAATCTGTTTAAATTCATCATCAAAAGACATATTTTAGATAAAATCATATACATGTGACCCCAAAAAAACTTTTGATCCTTAAAAAAAATTGAAAATGTAGTCTAGCATATAGTTTTTAATTTTAGAAGGTGTCGTAAGTAACTTCTCGTCGTCCGATTTTTAATTGGTTTAAAACTTAGTTGAATATTCGAAAATCTCTCTGTTAACTTCAGCTTAACAATATTGTTTCAGAAATTGTTTCATACACATACATACATGAATCCCCTCAGATTTTTGGGGATATATATACTATATATAGTACACCTAAACCAAGAACTTTATTTATGAGAAACCTACAAAGTTCAGCAATCCCGGCCCTATATTTGGGATCTGCTTTGATGGTCCTTAAAAATGCCTGTTGTGCATGGCAGCAAATGGAGGCCTCTTTAAGACATTTTTTGACATATTAACCTTTATGTAATCAATTTATGTGTGTTCGTATTTACTTTTCTCTGAATTATTCACTAAAATTGGGTAACCAATCTCATGTCAATACTTTTTTTGTATTATTTCAAGAAGAAGGATAATGGTATTAAAAAATAGTAGGAAACGCAGAAAATCTCATCTGTTGTTTAAAAGTACAGTTTGTGTCTATTGTAATTAAACCTCCGGTTGAGAATTACAATGTGCTTGATTCAGTGCACTCAGTGCAAGTAAGCACTAAATAACGGGATAATATTATTATCATTATTAATAAATAATACTCAACCACAGGGACGTAATAATACAGATATTTAAACAATATGTTTTAACACAGTTCATCTTAGACTTTAATCCAAACATACATTTTCTGTGTTTCATAGTTTTTATGTTCTTAACAAGTGCACAATGATTGAATCAATTTTCACAGTATCTTTAAAATTAAAATTTTAAAAAAATGATGGCATAATTATATATAAGTAAAAGTTGTGAAATAGCTATGACTCTATCCGAATAAAATGTTACTTCAGAATTAGGTTGTCTGCCTCTGTAAAGTCTAAATGATGAAAAAAAAAGAGTCGGATGTGGACCATGAGTCAAGAAGGTCAACTTCTGAGTCAAGTGCCGTGGTAAGGACAGGCTAGGGAATTGGCCATAAGGGCGGATAGGGCCACCATAATATTATGAACAATAATCTCATTCAAGAGTTGATTAGGTGTTCTGTTCAGAGATAGGTTCTGACTTAGGTTGTCCGCCTCTGTAAAGCCTAAATAATGTATTTTTAGATCAATAACGACGGTTCTCTGATGTATGCAGAGTGCAGACTTTAGATCAAAAAGGGCAAAAAAAAAGAGATGGATGTGGACCATGACCCAACTCCTGAGTCAAGCGCCGTGGTGAGGACAGGCTAGGGAAGGGGCAATAAGGGATAGGGTCTCCATAATATTATCCACAATAATCTCATTCAAGAGTTGATTTGGTATTCTGTCCGCAGAAAGGTTCGGTCCCGTTTTGCTTTATAAGCCTGTATTTAATACTGCACAAAGGAAATGAGTCTTCGCAACAAACTCTGATTTTCTAATTCTTATATCTCTGCGACCTGGGGGTGTATTCCATTTAATATTTCAATCTTAGATTATCCAATCTAACAGAATTCATAGTTTGAAATATCTAAGGTCTACTACATTAGGCTGAAAGGATATAGGGATTAGAAAATCAGAATTTGTGGCAAAGACTCAATTCCTTTACCTAACTGCTTACAGGTGAGTCCGCTATCTAATTCAAATGAACCAGAGTTCAGAGAGATATGAAGAAAAATAAATATTTTATTATGTGATTATCAAGGTTGTACAATTAGATATTTATATATAGATGAGAGGGGGTTTAGCCCAGGGTGGGATCCACGATCGAGTCCAGTGTCACGAAATTAGCGGTTATTTAGATTTATAATTAACCCGAAGGAATAAAAACACACTTTTATATAATTATTTCTTATATTTTTTAATTCTACATCAAAGTTTTTACACATTTATCAACAACATTGTACATTTCATAATATTATCATAAAAATAATATATAATATAGATACATATTCCTATATAATACATATACCATTATAGACATAAGGTTAAATATATATCTAGTATATAAACTAATCGAATTTTTGTTTTCTTCCTAAATTTTGGGTAAGAGTATATAAAAAAGCAGTAAAACCTAAGAAGTTGTATTGTACGTATCTTAGTGTATCCATCTTCAAAACTGTATTTTGTATCTTAGTGTATCCATCTTCAAAACTGTATTTTGAATCTTAGTGTATCCATCTACAAAACTGTATTTTGTATCCTAGTTTATCCATGTGTATCCTACAGTATCCAACCACAAAGTTGTATTTTATATCCTAGTACAGCCAACTACAAAACTGTATTTTGTATGCTAGTGCATTCATCTACAAAACTGTACTGTGTATCCTACAGTATCTAACTACAAAGTTGTATTTTTGGTATCCTAGTGTATCCAACTATAAAACTGTATTTTGTATGCTAGTGTATTCATCTACAAAACTGTGCTGTGTATCCTTCAGTATCTAACTACAAAGTTGTATTTTGGTATCCTAGTGTATCCAACTATAAAACTGTATTTTTTATGCTAGTGTATTCATCTACAAAACTGTCCTGTGTATTCTACAGTATCCAACTACAAAGTTGTATTTTGTATCCTAGTGTATCCAGCTACAAAGTTGTATTTTGTATCCTAGTGTATCTAACTACAAAGCTTTATGGTGTATTCTAGTGTATCCAACTAAAACACTGTTTTATGTATCGTAGAAAGAAATATTAGGCTAAGCTATGGATATATATTTATCCACAATACAAAGCTGTATTCTATATAATTAATAGTTATCTAATCTTGTATATTATTGTACAAGTATTTTAGAGTTTTCCATCTCAACTGTGTATCCAAAGATTATGGATGGAAATAAAACTGAAAAATGATGTGAGCATAACTGTTTTCTCATTAATTTGGAGATCTTAATGATCTCATTAATTTGGAAATCTTAATGATCTCATTAATTTGGAGATCTTAATGATCTTATGAATTTGGAGATCTTAATGATCTAATTAATTTGAAGATCTTTATGATCTCATTAATTTGGAGATCTTAATAATTTCATTAATTTGGAGATCTTAATGATCTCATTAATTTGGAGATCTTAATGATCTCATTAATTGGGAGATCTTATGGATCTCATTAATTTGGAGATCTTAATGATCTCATTAAATTGGAGATCTTATGGATCTCATTAATTTGGAGATCTTAATGATCTCATTAATTTGGAGATCTTAATGATCTCATTAATTTGGAGATCTTATTGATCTCATTAATTTGGAGATCTTAATGAGTCTGGAACCGCTTGCACGGACCCACTGACAATCTGAAAAATATATCATATTAATATATTAGGAAAAATAATAAAAAAAATTGTGTTTCAAATAATAAGTACCTTGTAGTTTGACCAATACACTGGTTTTATACTGTTTATATGTTGGTTTGAGTTGTTTAGACGAGAATTTAAACTGTTGTGCTGAATGGAGCCGTTGGTAAGAATAGAAGAGCTGGTTAGAATGGAGGATTTAGATCCAACACTTTCTGGAGTATTGGAGGATTTGTGGATATTAAGCATGGATACTGCTGAACCATGGGATATACGACCAGGTCTAGAACATAGAGAAGTAGATAGATGGATGGATGGATAGATGTATAGATGGATAGATGTTCATGAGATAGATGGATAGATAGATCCGTAGATGGACAATCGGAAGTCATATAAATTGATAAATCAACAGATGGTCGCTTGACAGACAGGAGTATGTAGAATAGTAAAATAAATCAAGATAAAAATAATTGAGTCTTCTTTGCCAAAAACTCAAATTTTTTAGCCTCATAACTTTTTAACCTGTAATAAATCTTTAATATTTCAAACTTGATTATATGATCTAAAATAATTCATAATTTAAAACATTGGGTTGCAAAGATAAAGGGATAAGAAACTCTGATGTAAAAAAGCAAAAACTTTATTAACAGATGGAAAAAAGTTATACAACAACATATGGACGAAGGGTCAATCAAAATAGACAAATAGACAGCTACCTGGGTCTTGAATACGAATCTCTGGAAGACGACCTTGATTCTCTTGAGTCTCTGGAGTCTCTTGATCTAGTGGAGAACTTAGATGTAGATGGAGTAGATGCAGTGGATAATCCTAAATCAAGAATTCATTAGCATCAAAATTTCCTGCTCTCGGCTATTTATAATAAAGAATCTCTTAAAATTCCTTGTACAAGAGTTTATTCAGGCTGCTACGGGAAAACTTCAGTTTTATGCTTTACAAGGGAATCACATCTTTTAAAACATTTTTAATAAAGTACAATAAAAACACAAGCTATGCAATTTACAAGTTCCGCTAAATTAATTCGACTATTTTTCCATAATCCAATTTCCTTATTTGCGAAATATCAATATTTACTCTCTAAATTTCTCCGAAAATAAATGTTCACCCACTTTGGACGTAAAATATTCAGTATTTTCGCAAGGTTCAAGTTTTGTCCGCCATGTTGAGTTCACACTACACCTGAGCGTAAATCCAAAATACATTTGAGAGATATAAACAAGGAGATCTCTGTACGTCCTTTATGAAAATGTGGATTAAGGGCTCAAAGTCTTCGATTATAAAGTTCTTATTTGTTCTTATTTGTTTGTTAATATCAAACTAGATATATTTTCTACTTTCCATCTGGAGAACTATAGTGAACAAGAAAAGTTTAATCAACTAATTTTCCATTTACTAGAATCGAACATGCATTTCCCATTTACAGAAAAAGAAAAGAAAAAGAAAAAATACATACAAATGGCTAAGTTCATAAAAATTTAGTTGACAAAAAAGTTTGGATGTTATCGTGTAAGCCGGTCTTGTATTTATTTTTAAGCAGTTTGTTTGCACGTCCTGATATCTTCCAACGATTTTGTATGACTAATGGAAAGTTTTGATTGAACTAACTTTCAGTCGAGACATTCCTCAGGTTTTGTAGTACAGTGTTTTAACAAACTTGCTAAACCACCTGTTAAACTGGTTAACTTCCTAAACTACCTGTTAAACTGGTTAACTTCCTAAACTACCTGTTAAACTGGCTAAAACTCCTAAACTACCTGTTAGAATGGTTAAACCTCCTAAACTACCCATTAAACTGGCTAAAACTCTTAAACTTCCTGTTAAAGTTGTTAAACTACCTGAAATCCCTGTTAAACCGGTTAAACTTCCTTAACTACCTGTTAAACTGGTTAAAATTCCTAAACAACCTGTTAAATTGGTTAAACTTCCTAAACTACTTGTTAAACTGTTAATAAATTCCTATACTACTGTTGTCGCAAAGGAACAAGATTCTGACGATGAACAGATAGACAAGGTATAATCCACGAATCAAAATCGATAATGCAGAAAACTCTTTATTTCCTAAAAAAATAACGAAATGAATAATGATAAATAATTATTACAGGGTTTACAAATTTATAATGAAAAGATTCTTACGATCTATTTTCCTATTCGTGAGACTATCTGTCGAAAAGTCCGAAGACGCTTTTTATACATTAAAACTTCTGAAAAGATTGACAATTAAATGTTGATGAAAGTCACTAATTCTTTAAATAGAAATGTTTTTGTTTAACTTTGAAATGGTTCACAATTGATAAACGTTTTAACTCCGTCATCGGAGAACAAGGAAGAAAGGCGGGCTGAAATTGTTTGGTTTGGATTCTTGACTCCGAGAGGAGCATTTAAGTTGAAGACGATATTACATGAACTGTGGGGGGGGGGGTCTTAATGTTAATGGTTGACAACTACATGTTAAACTAGTTAAACTAGCAAATTACCTGTTAAGCTGGTTTAACTTCCTAAACTACCTGTTTAACTGATTAAACTACCTAAACTACCTGTTAAACTAGTTACACTACCTGATCTACCTGTTAAACTAGATACACTACCTGAACTACCTGTTAAACTGGTTAAAATTCCTAAACTACATTTTTAACTAGTTAAACTACCTGAACTACCCATTGAACTAATTAAACTACCTAAACTAACTACCTATTGAACTAATTAAACTACCTAAACTACCCCTTAAACTGGTTAAACTTTGTAAACTACCTGTTAAACTGATCTAACTATCTGAACTACCTGTTTAGTGTTTAACTGATTAAACTACCTGAACTACCTGTTTAACATTACTACCTAAACTACCAGTTAACTGGTTTAACTACCTGAACTACCTGTTAAATTATGTAGTTAAATTACCTGAACTATCTCTAGGTGTGAGACTCATGTCCAGGTATCCTAAATCCATCTCTCCTAATCCTGATATCAAATTTTCTATTTTTAATTTCGGTCTGTTGGATCGGAATTATCTATTATATTATCAATTATCTGCCCTTGTTAATGTCAATTAAGATTTCAAATAATTATTTCTTGACTAGAATGAGCCACTCTTTAACCTTGTGCAGTATTGTACACATTGCTAGTTTTTATTGTTTTATATTGTAGCAGCATTTAAATTTTAAAAACTAAATGCATGAAGATGTGCACTAAAACAAAAGCCCCGAGGAGGTCGAAATAAGTACTTTTTAACAAATAATAAAACTTTTGTAAAAAACGCTTGGTACAAAACCTGAATCAACTCTACTTCTTCGTCCCGTACTGCAAGCAGTTCTATCTAGTGCTTTTATATATCCAGAAAATATTCCTAAATGCAAAATAGATATTTATAGGTACTGGTAGGTACATTTACTAAATAATACAGAGACTGCTGAACGAATCTGATTAGATCAGCTTGATAATTGTACCAGCTCGGCATACTTGTACCAGCTCGACATACTTGTACCAGCTCGGCATACTTGTTCCAGCTCGGCAAACTTGTACCAGCTCGGCATACTTGTTCCAGCTCGGTATACTTGTACCAGCTCGGCAAACTTGTACCAGCTCGGCATACTTGTTCCAGCTCGGTATACTTGTACCAGCTCGGCATACTTGTACCAGCTCGGCATACTTGTACCAGCTCGGCATACTTGTACCAGATCGGCATACTTGTACCTGCTCGGCATACTTGTACCAGCTCGGTATACTTGTACCAGCACGGCATACTTGTACCAGCTCGGCATACTTGTACCAGCTCGACATACTTGTTCCAGCTCGGTATACTTGTACCAGCTCGGCAAACGTGTACCAGCTATGTATACTTGTACCAGATCAACATACTTGTACCAGCTCGGCATACTTGTACCAGCTCGGCATACTTGTTCCAGCTCGGTATACTTGTACCAACTCGGCATACGTGTACCAGCTCGGCATACTTGTACCATATCGGCATACTTGTACCAGCTCGGGATACTTGTACCAGCTCGGCATACTTGTACCAGCTCGGCATACGTGTAGCAGCTTATTTTACTTGTACCAGCTTGGCATACTTGGTCAAGCTCGGCATACTTGTACCAGCTCGGTATACTTGTACCAGCTCAGCATTCTTGTACCAGCTCGGCATACTNATTTAAAGAATATTGTAAAAGCATACTTGGTCAAGCTCGGCATACTTGTACCAGCTCGGTATACTTGTACCAGCTCAGCATTCTTGTACCAGCTCGGCATACTTGTACCAGCTCGGTATACTTGTACCAGCTCGGTATATTTGTACCAGGACGCAGCATGGCATATGCTATAGTTTTTTAGAGTGTTTGAATGATAGCTGGATCTTAAGCCTCTTAACAATATTCCTCTTTTAATTTTGGTCTTATATTTTAATTTTAATTTTACAATGTTTTTGAAAATCTAAATTTCATGTTCATGTTTGCCATAGAGAAAGATAGATAATTACCTACTGCTGAATTAAAGCTTGGTCTGCAGACAGGTTCAGAAAACCAGCATTCTCTCATCAGTACACGAACTTTCATTGGTGCGTTTCTACATTCCTGTACAGTACATAAATTTAATATGAATAAGTACATGTCCTGGTACATGGTGCAGTTTGAATGCTGCATACTGAATATATATCTGTAAATTTTAATTTTTGATATACATTGATTTTTAAGCAAAGTTTTGTTCTTGTTCAAAGAACACCATGTAAACTGTATTTGAAGTACCGGACTGGCCTTTAGGCAGCTAGATTAAGTTGTACAGTATAGGTACAAACTATATATGGCAAAATGGGACAGTACAGCAAATGAATCCTTCCCTTTAAGTAAGTTTAATTTGTACAGTGTTTACATTTTTTTGGTAGAAAAAGTTGGATGACTAGCTGCCAAATAAGCGAATACAAGCGAACAGTAGTCGTTAATTTAGATGCCATCGAACTTTTACTGCTGCAGGGTCGTTTTTTTGCATATATCAGGTGCCAAAATTTGAGAGAAGCAAATGGTTAAAAAAGAACAATAAAGAAAACCTTTGCTATTAGTATACACTATACAAAATTTTGCCTCTGCAAAAGAAAATATATTGGCAAGAAACTATGAAACTGAAGGCACAGCAGAGATCACTATTGTACCTGAAGGCAGAGATCACTAAGTGTACCTGAAGCCTGCCTCCAGTATTCAGCATTTTCTGAAGACTAAATGGTGTTATTCCCTCTCCATACGGTTCCTTTCCTACGGTAATGATAATGATTTCACACTATCAGTTATAAAGATAAAAATGGTAGTAACAATAAAAATGAAGCATGACTATAATAACAATACTGAAGATGATATTAATGATAATAATAATCGTAAAAATAATGAATATTTATGCATAACTGATCAAACCTAAAGAGAAGAGTTCCCACAGAGTAATCCCAAACGCCCAAACATCAGATTTTTGAGAGAAAACATTTTGAATAAAAGATTCAGGCGCCATCCACTTGAAGGGTTGGGGTTTGTTACTTCTGCCCGAAACAAACAATTCTAAAAATCTAAATCAAGGAAAGGTTTAAAAAAAAACATGTTTTTATGTAAAGATTAGGTAAAAAAGGAAAAAAATGAAGATGGGAAAAGCCTTAATCTTGTTTACTATTTACAAAAACAGACAGTCTGGTTATTTCCTAGCACGTACTTTGTTGGGCGTAGTAAAAGAATACACTGTACAGTCAATAAAATTAAAACACTCTCCAATTAAAGTGACTGTAAGCGTTATTCAAAGCTCGACCCTCCAGGCTCCATGCAAGGATAAAGTATCCCATTTACAATTAAATGACCCTAACAGCTTTGTTCGATCTAGTATGCATTAGACATAGATTAATTAAAATAACAGACAGGACACTAGATGTAGTCTTTTCAAGATTTGGATGAAACTCATTCACAAGAACCCTGAGGCAGAAACCCAGAGGAGTTTCGCGCAGTCGGCGAAGAATTACAAGACAGAGTGAGCCTGTTGTACGCTAACTGCGCTAAACTCCTCTGGGTTTCTGCCTCAAGGTTAATGTTTATGAGATTCATCCAAATCTGAATAAGACGACATCTATAGTGTCCTATCTGTTATTTCAATTAATCTATGGCATTAGATTCTATGTTTTTGTTTCTTAAGATTGTTAATTTCAGTTGTGGGTTCTCTGCAAAGTGACTTACGCATTGGTTATACGATATAATGGATCAGAAATAAACACTTTTAAAGTCAGAAGAACGACGGTATCTTCCACAGTTTTTATCAGAATTAGGTTTCAAGGCCCAAGGTTAACGGTGTAAATTGGGCGTTGCAATCTTTGCATGGAGCCCAAAAAAAAACATTTTAGCCGATGTCGTATACACGACTCGACATCATCGACAGCTTCAGAGAAAATATGTCGGCACCAACGACTTTTAGCTCCGACATAGATACATTACAATCTCTTTAAATAAATGTTTTAACTTAATGGAAGTTTTTAGAAAGAAAATATAAAAACAATGCTCCGGGTCTGTTATAAACCCTGGTTTTCAAAATATCCAATTTATATAAATGTTTGTTTGTTCCTGCTCCAATACTCCGGGGGTTTACATGGACTCCCATATTCACTGGTCAATTCTGTTAAAATATACAAAATAAGAATTTAAAAAATGTAATCGTAAAAATAACTATTAAAATTTTTCAAAAAGTAGATTCTTAAAAGTAAATCAGGTTTAATTTCGAAAAGTGTTTTTAAAGATATTATAAAACTATTGCATACTTTATTCTTACTCCCTTCATGGTTAATTTTATTATGAACGTGCTTTAAAGTAAGCATCGTGCTATAAAGTTAAATTAGCTTTACATTATAGCACGTGTGCTATAATGTTTTGATTGGTTTCCGGATTTTCTCCAAAAAATTAAGATGATTCCAAAATATTTTTTTTAATATAAATGAAAAAAAAATGAAATTAACTTCATATTTTTATTTCTGCTTCTTAATAACCTTGTTTTATCTATAAATAGCCATTGCAATAAGACAAGTAATCAAATGTTTAAATAAAATGACCTATAACACTATTATTTTGGCATGACGTGCTATAAAGTTGTTGGGCTTAAATTTTCTCTATACCTCGAAGGTTCTCGTAAAAGAGAAAATTTCTGTCCAAAAACTTTGCAACACTGCGAACCAAAGCGAACCAAAATAATAGTGTTATAACGTTATAGTAGTTGTAAGTAGTTATTTTAATGTAATGAAGTTACTTTATTATCAACTGTGTTATAAATAATTATTTTACTTAAGTTACTTTATTACCAACTGTGTTATAAATGGTTATTTTAATGTAATGAAGTTACTTTATTACCAACTGTGTTATAAATAGTTATTTTAATGTAATAAAGTTAGTTCATTACCAACTGTGTTAAAAATAGTTATTTTAATGTAATAAAGTTAGTTAATTACCAACTGTGTTATAAATAGTTATTTTAATGTAATGAAGTTACTTCATTACCAACTGTGTTATAAATAGTTATTTTAATATAATAAAGTTAGTTCATTACCTACTGTGTTATAAATAGTTATTTTAATGTAATAAAGTTACTTAATTACCAACGATGTTATAAATAGTTATTTTAATATAATGAAGTTACTTCATTACCAACTGTGTTATAAATAGTTATTTTAATGTAATGAAGTTAGTTCATTACCAACTGTGTTATAAATAGTTATTTTAATATAATAAAGTTAGTTCATTACCAACTG